AATACAACTCAAGCGTTACTAAATTAATAATTATAGGCTTCAATATTTCTTTCAGAGCAACTTGAAGAAAAATAAATAAATAAATTCAGGAAAAACAACCCAGTTTTTCTCTCATCACTGGGGAATGAAATTTTTATTGCATTATTCATAATGTGTAAATGCTGCTTTGAAGAGCGCGATAGAGATCTCTTAAAAACACTAAACCATGTTATTACCCATCTAAACCTTCCAAATTATTTAACACTTTTGGCCAGTAGCTTAGACAGTAATTCTTGGATGTTTCTTGGTATTATACTATAGAGATATGTACAGTATAATATATATATATATATATATATATATATATATATATATATATTATCTCTTTAGCTCATCAATAACTTTTTAGTCAGCGACATCAATGTAATGCCAGCTATAAAAAAATCAATCTTTTCTCAGTTTTAAATAAAGCACTGGAATTTCAAATTATATTTCTACATGTATACAGTACACACTTACCAGCCATTTTATTAGGAACACCTTACTAGTGCTGGGTTGGCCCCCTTTTGCCTTCAGATCTGCCTTAATCCTTAAGGCATAGATTCAACAAGGTACTGGAAATATTCTTCAGAGATTTTGGTCCATATTGACATGATTGCATCACGCAGTAGCTGCAGATTTGTCGGCTATGATGCAAATCTCCCGTTCCACCACATCCCAAAGGTTATTGGATTGAGATGATCTAGTGACTGTGGAGGCCATTTGAGTACAGTAAGCTCATTGTCATGTTCAAGAAACCAGTCTGAGATGATTCACGCTTTATGACATGACATGCTTTCCTGCTGGAAGTGGCCATCAGAAGATGGGTACACTGTGGTCATAAAGGCATGGACATGGTCAGCAACAATACCAAGGTAGGCTGACACTCAATTGGTACTAATGGGCCCAGAAAGTGTGCCAAGAAAATATCTCACACAACATTACACCACAAACAGCAGCCTGAACCGTTATTACAAGGCAGGATTGATCCATGGTTTCATATTGTTGATGTCAAATTCTGACGCTACCATCCAAATGTCACAACAGAAATCGAGACTCATCAGACCAGGCGACAATTTTTCAATCTTCTATTGTACAATTTTGGCGAGCCTGTGCAAACTGTGGCTGAAAATGCGATCTGTGAAAGACAGCAGCACCCTCCGAAATGAGAGGCAGATCGAGAATTATAAAAATCCACATGAGGTTTTTTTTTTTAGTAAAGCTAAATATTACTGTAGCTGAGTTACACTGTTGTTTGGACACACCTAACAACACACAACATAAGCAATTTGTCTGTACCAGATGTAAGATGACAAAAAAATTAATTAAATTAAGAGGCCTCAGAATTCTGCCTAATTAAATACAGCCATTCAAGCACAGAATAGTGCACTGCACTACAACACAATGGTAAGATTTGTAATCTTATTAATACATATTAAACTTCTAACATTATTAAAAGTACATGCTGAGTTACTGATACTTGTTGGTTTGCTCTAAGTCACAGTGATGTTCTGAGGTAAACCCTCTGCTGCTGCTTTCAGTATGGCATCAAATGTCACATAAAAAGATATTCAAACTAGCATTAGTTTCCCAAAGATGGGTTGCAGCTGGAAAGCCATCCGCTGCGTAAAAACTTGCTGGATAAGTTGGCGGTTCATTCCGCTGTGGCGACCCCAGATTAATAAAGGGACTAAGCCGACAAGAAAATAAATGAATGAAACTAGCCATAGTAGCATTTAACACTAAACAAAAGCACAAAATCATAATTAGAGAGATTAATTTTCATAGAAGTTTATAATGTGATAAATTTTGAGACTTAGAAACAAAAATATAAGTGATGCCTAGGACAAAAACTATTAACATTAAAAAAAATTCCTTTTGTCTCATGTAGGTAGGACATTGTGTAGGCTCAATAGTCAGGCACTCTCACTCCTCTTGGTGTTCTCAATCTGCCAACCTGCATTTGGCATGGTATTGTCATCGGACGGGCCAGGTGGAAAAAGGGTTTTGAATTTGGAGTGCAATTCCTAGTTCAACCACTGGGTGTCAATCTTTTATACATACTGGACCTTTAACTACTGATACCATTAAGAGAGAATTATGTGCATCATTGTATGCATTTATTACATGTGTGAAATAGATTTCTTTTTAGGGCTAGACGATAAAATCGGTATCGATACTTATTTTACCAAACCCTATTGTCAATATCCATTTAAAAAAAGATTAGGTATAAAGACTATAGTTTTATGAAATGTAAAGCATTGCCAATAAGCTAAGGGTGTAAGTTTTTTATTTTTAATGAAGTCGCATTACTTTCACATTGTAGCGACGTGCACATTTTGTGCAAGCGGCGCACAAGTGACATGCATTTTCCAGCCACACCTAGTTAAAAACATTAAACTTTTCCAAATGCCGTGATGACCACATTTTATGTATGTAGAACTAACTAATCTGCTTTACGCTTTGTATGGAATATACACATTTCAGTAACGGTAGAATAATTACCTAAGACAAACGAAAAGACAAACTAAAGGCGAAAAACAAACAGCACACCCAAACACTGCAGTGCTTTTTACTTTTCTCCATAAACTTGCATCGGAGCTGCAGCAATGGTTTCCGTTTGTCATCCTTCGAGAAGCCTGATGGGTGCCAGGGGAGCGTAAATAGTGAAAGAAACCACACAATTGCACTTGACGCTTCAGGTCAAAAAAACAACACATGCGAAAATGAGTGCCACACAGCAGCAGCGAGGAGAAGATTGTAAATAAAAAAGCATGTAAGGATGTTGCCAGAGTGGCCTTTGGTTTCTTTTCTTGTGCATCTTAGCCACTAGCTCCCAATCTGAATTTTTTTTTTTTTGCATAATATAGTCTTTTAACTTCATAATTTGTAATATAGCAATATGTATTTGAATAATGATAGTTCTTTTACTTAAAGCTCACATTTGATTATCATAATTTGTTTTAGTTACAGAATTTGAGAATTACTGTATCATTGTTATTCACATCTTACAGATGTTACTCTACCCAAAAAGTTTTCTTTGATTGTTTAGCATTTACGCTTCACCACTGCACACACTTTGTAACATTTTATCTATCAAGTTTAAGGGTGCTTTCACACCCAGACTTTTGTTTCCAAACCTGGCACGTTTGCTCTAGTAGCGTGGTTTGTTTGGCATTTGTGACACCAGCAATCGTGCTCAAATACGCACTAAAACAATCGGTCCGAGATCGCCTGAATGAGTTGGTTTCAGGTCAATTAAAACGAACTTTGGAGTGGATCAATTGCAGTGAGAAAGCAATACGATCCGAACCAAACAATATCACAGTGTATTATGAATATGTAACAGGCATATATACAGCTATAATGTAAAGCTTATAATTTATAAGCCAATTGCTACGTATGAGAAAGTCTTACCTCTGATTTATATCTGGTGACGATGTCTGCGAGTGTCACCATTTAAAATTAAAGGGCAGCTTTTCGCTTCTAATGTCTTATTGCTCATTGTCATAAATTAAAATAAGAATGCATGACAGCTGAGCGGGACTCATGAAACTCTGACCAATGTGAGGAGAGTCTACTCTGTTTTAGCTATTTTGGTCCATTTAAAAACTTTGTTGCGTGAAAGTGCAACATTGTAATAATTTTAATCCCTGTTTTGGAACAAAAGAATCGACCCACAGGTGTGAAAGCACCCTAAGAGTCTCTTTAACACTTTTTTTATTATGAAAAAATATATGAGATATTTTAAGGATATTTGTTTTTGACTATAAAAACTAATTGGTTTAGTAATGTTGGTAAATTAAAATAAAGTGATTAAATAAAAAGTCCTAATATTCCTAGATGTATTGTAAAAAATATTCAATAGTTTTCTATTTCGAATGATATGAAACTCATATTGTGATACTTTTTTTGCAATTTTGCCCAGCCCTATTACTTTTCGTCTCTTATCTCGAGTACAATGAGACTCTTGTTATAGGATTTGCTGATGTATATGTCTGGGTAATGTTCACAAACTCGAGAGTTTGAAATATATGGCAGGAGTCAATTGTTCCTTATGTTATAGAATTTAGTTCTATAAGTATGCAGGAATCTAGATCAAGGAGGGAGATACGCAACATCAAGAAATGACAACATCAATTTTCATTAAATCCATGAAGGTTAATAAACATGAACTGTAATGGCTAAGCAGTATTATAATGTTTTTTTTTTTTTTTATTTATATAGCACATTTTTTTACAACACAATGTTGTCCAAAGTGCTGAACACAATCAATACTAATTAAAATAAAACCTGCATCTCACACATACAATTAAAACAAAAAAGGCAAACCCCTCAACACTAAAAAGGCTCAAATGCTAAAAAACAAAGATGGAGTTTCAGAAGCTTTTTAAAAACAGATCGAGTTGGAGCGTGTCTGATGTGGGATGGAAGCCCATTCCAGAGTTTTGGGGCGATAACAGCAAAAGCCCGATCCCCACTTTGCTTGATTTTAACTAATACCCACATATAGAGAGATGCAATAGTCAAATCTTCCCAAAATAAAAGCATGGGTCACCTTTTTACAAAGTCACTTAAAGAGAGAAATGACTTTCCACAAGTCGTAAATGGAAAAACTGGATTTAACAACTGAATTTACTTGTTTGTTAAATTTCAGATCATGTGTGATGAGTCACGTATTAAGTGTCTATAAACTTTTGTCATCATTTGTAATAAATAACAAATGTTTATCTCTAATTGTTTGCTTGTGCAAGTAAATCAACATTAGTTTAGTTTTTTATTATTGACGTATACACCAAACACACACATTCTTTTTATTCAAATGTGCCCTGCTTTCATACAAGCACATTATTGCTTCTCATTTTGAAATTATTTTGTAATTTTAACCAAACAGAAAAGGAAATACCAAGGCATTGTTTTGAATAATAGGTGCATAAAAAAGCCAATGACCAAAACCATAACAACACATATACACCAAAAACTGATGGTTAGTTAATGTAAATTTTAATCTTTTAAAACCTTATTAATATGAATTGATTAAACAAACACAGATTTATACACAGAACAACAAAACAACAAAATTAAAACATACTTGCTTTCCTCTGCCTGCTGTTGTCTGACTTACTCCCTGCAACTCTACCTAAGAAATGCTTTTCCTTCTCCACTTTCTGCTGTTCTATCCTTCATCACTATCTCTCTCCTGTCTCTCTCGCTCTCTTCTCATCTCCTTCAGTTCTTGACGGTACTTTCTTTCGATGAAGCGTTTCTGATGAGCCATCTGAGGAAAGTTATCTGTAGAGGGTGAGGAAAAGATCAGGATATAGAAAAAGACTTTCATAAACTTTAGGACTATAATGGCTGCTTCATCAAAGCATTACTTCCATATTTGGGGAGATAAAAAAAACTAAACATTTCAGTGGATTGCAATCGTCTTTTTAAAGTTTTACTTGTATGCACTCGAGTCAGCAGTACTTACTGCCAATTACACAAAGACACACACAGCATTGAATAAGTATATAAACTTGCTTAAAGTTTTATGAAATGAAATTCAAGGGTAATTATGGGCTTCACTATGCAAGTAATGAACTTTGAGACAAACGGTTTCCATATACAGTGGCTGACACTTTAAAGATCATTACTGCGGCCCCACTAAAGGAGTAAGAACATGTTTTTAGGTATAACCGCAGTTTGCAACTACGTCGCCAGGGGGAAAAAAGGGACCGGATGCGAACGGAGAGAAATATACAGTACCTGTAAATAATTTGCTACTCGTAAATAAAGATGAAAAAATAAAACAAAGCATTATAATTCCTTCATTATTCATCAAAAACCTTTTAACAAGCTTTATTATCATTGTAAACTTAAATGAATTGAGGATTTATTTTGGAAAGTAAAATTTAAGCAATAAAAGACAAACAAAATTAAAGTACAAACATACCTACAAATAAGTAGGTCTAAATAAATAAACAAATAAATAAATAAATTAGGGTTTTAGACAAGGGTTTTATAGGCTATAGGCTACTATAGCATGGTTTCTGCAACATTCATTCTTTAATGGCAGGGTGCCACACTAAAATTCATCCCACCACAGCTACATTACAGCTTCTCGCTCAAAACATTCACTCGTTGTTTTTTTAAAAAGCGGGATATGGTTGCTCCAAAACATATTAAAAAGGTAGGTGAATTATAACAGCGGAAACTTTTTTGTAAACGCAGTAGTGCTGTGCATTATTTATTTAATCCTTTACGGTGACATGCTGACTGACTGACCGGCCTGTGTGAGGCCAGCAAACACAAAGTAGCTTTCAGGTAAGATGAACACAGTTTTCATAATACTTTGTAGATTAAGGTCTATGGTTCTGCATACAATGACTTTATCGTCCTGGAGTTTATAGCCGTTTCACTTTACTTTAGGATGCATTAATGCTGCTCTGTAGGTCTGTCAAAGTCATTCATAAATATTCCTAGCAAATCTAATAAATGGTGGAGACATGCTCATTACATAAATGCACTAAATCGCACTTCAGCAGCGTTTATTTGAGAGCAAACAAGAAAAGTTGTCCACGAACAGAGGAAATTGGCACGCAAGCATGCTTGTATTAAATAAATGCGATCTCGACTTGTAATGCTGCATTCACGACATTTGTCATTGAAATAACGCCATAGATACTGTAATTGGTAGATCTGTGTAAAAGGTCTGCCACCACAGCCGGAAAAAATCCTAGAGGAAACACTGTGTAGTAAGTAATAATTTGTTTTTTTTTATACATATTTTACATGTAGTTTTGCATTAATTTGCATAGACATTTTATAGTTTATATAGGCCTAAAATGAATGCCTCAGTTCAGTGCAGAGTTAATGATGGATATGGGTGTCACAAAATACTTTTTAAACCAATGTTTTTTATAATAATAATATTAATAATAATAATAATGTTATTATTATTATTTAATGTGAACAACACTTAATAAAAATTTAAATGTATTTATTACACCACCTTATAAAAAAACTATAAATTACAGTACTTTCCACAGGTTTGAAATATATTTGTCGTGGTAGCCGGATTAAAACACAATATCTAAGCACAAAAACTTTTTTACTATTGTAGATACACATATCGCGATAACGATGCTCAAACAGTATATTGTGCAGCCCTAGTCCTAGGGAGAGTTAAAGTAATTTTTTATTTTGGTGAACCATCTCTTCAAGGTGCTTGTGTATGCAACAAACAAGGTCAAATTAATCTCTGTATCTATATATATATGCTAAACATGAGCTAAACACATTAGGTATTAAAAGTAACTTACATTTCTCCAGAGCATCCATGGCTGCCCCCATCTCAGCTTGCTGAATGCTGTTGGAATTAAATAGTTATAAATGCTCAGCATCACAAACAATGGATCATCACTATTGTACTGACCTAATTACAAACCAGCTAATTAAGAACCAAGTGAATAGGAGTTTTCATCTACTTAGAACTCTCATTTTAAATACCTGACCTTCAACACTTCTATTGAAACTATCATAATTAGAGCCATGTACATACAGAAACAAAACACTTGTTACTGTGCTAATTTAATTTTAAATAATAGAACTATTATATTGTCACAATTACGAAATGTTTCACAAATATATCACACCACCTTTTGCACAGTTACAACTTACATGTGTATTTTTGGCTCAGTCAACAAGAACTGTTAAAAAGCATAATTAGCCATCATCTATTAAATCAATACATAGTAATGTTTCTAAATTAGCACGAAATGTCACACACTATTTGGTATGGGATTGCAATAGACGAATTACCATGTTTGTAAACATTTAGGATGCACTCGCATTGAGGTGGCAGAAAAAAACGGGAGCGCTAGCGTTTACAGCAAGGGAATGACATCCGATGCAGTACAGAGTTTGTTGTTGTCTTAGAAATAAGATATAATGATTACATATTATATTATTTACATAATGCTTTCAGTGTATTATAACACCCAGTGATAAGCAGAGTGATTCGGTAAAATCAACGTTAAAGTGAGCGGCGTTCATCTGACAGATCCATTTGCGATAGCACCCTTCCAATAAATATCGGATAAGATGAAATGGCCATGCATCCAGCCCGAAAAATACAATCTCATTGAAGCTCCAAGTGATTTTACAGGAGAAGAAGTTAAAGGCTTACAAGTCTTTAGATGCCACCAAAGTTGTTCTGTGTGATCATGTGCAAGATTACCAGATTCAACACTTTGTAGTGCTAAAAACTGCGTTTCTGCCCAGCCAAAGACAAGGAAAGTAGATGAAGCTGTACAAGGTAAAGGATTCGGATTTCTACCTTCCAATTAGTCTTAGCATGACTCAACGTTTATCCTTTTCTCATCATCCTATTTCTCATTATTTTTATTAAAGATGATTATTGAATAATGAATAAAGTTAACACATTGCTTAATTTTAGAATATTCAATCCCTACAAAGGCCTGGGTAATAAATCATCAACAAGCAAAACAACTGCATTCTGACAGCGAAATTGGTTTTATATTCACACATTCGGACTTTCTCCTTGATAAAATAATTTTATAAAAGTATTATTTGCAAACTCTAAATAGCGAAATCATATTAGCAGCCAATGACCATCAAAGTACAACATTGTTCAGTCAAATAAAGTGTTAATGTTGTTTTCAAGTCATACTTGCAGGTTATTTCAGACCAAATATTCAAAGTACAGTGTTAAACAATATAGGGAGTGTGTCACAAGTTGTCACTCAATGAATGTTTGAATATAAAACCAACTTTACCTTAATAACTTACACTTTCACGTTTCATTCTTATCATTCAGTGTGTGCAGTTTAATTAACCGTATGCAACTGTTTTTGCTGAAATCATTTCTGCAATCAAAAACGAGTAATGTGTACGATTCAGCATAGCATGAACTTACCTGATATAACATGAGAACTGCAGAGTCGAGCATTTCTAATAAAGGCGTCACTTTATTCAGCTCCCATTTTACCAAAGATGTCTGCAGTTTGCATTAAAGCAGTGTGGTTTATGGTAAAATTTAAGTTTTCTATTTTTAGAATTTGGCATCCTACCGCACAACACAACATGTTTTCTATTGCAGGCGGTCTTTTTTTGCAACCGGGAACCCGTGTGATGTAGGTTGGTAATTCGTCTATTGGGTTAGTTTTGTTAAAAAGACCTGGCAACCCTGCACTAGATATAGTTCAAAGAGAATGACATACTTTCCAATTTTTTCTATGATGTTAAAACTTAAAAGACATTATATGCAGTGATCTAGGAAAGATAGGGTAAAATATATGTTTATTAGTACCTTGGTCCTTTTCCACAGCCAATCCTTTCACCTTTAAAATACACTGCCACCGTGTAGGTCCTGGCATGTGAGGGTCCAACAGTTTGAAGTGTTCTATAGATAAAAGATAAAAGGAAAAAAATAATAACAAACTTGAATGGCACAATTATATGGAGCTAAAGATTTGTTATACTATCATTACATTAGATTAAAGAAATTAAAAAGACAAAAAAAGAAAAAAGATTAAATAAGATTTTAAAAAGCTGATGACCCAAAAATGTAAATTATACTTACATTATATACATACATTAACAGCTATCAATAAACGGTTAAATATATAACTTTGGTAACACTTTAGTTTGAGTTAACACATTATTCACACAATGTATAACTGGCTTATTACCTGCCTATTATTAATATATTAACTGTTTATTAGTACTTATGTACTTAAGATCCTAAATCCAACTACTACTTACCAACTATTAATAAGCAGATAATTAGTAGTTTTTGAGCTAAAAGTTCTATGTTAATAGTTTGTTAATGGTGTGAATTGTGTATCAAAAATGTGACCATAACTTTATTTTTGTATATAGTCACATAAAGCGCTTTCTACTATATAGCAAACTCTCCAGAGATGCTCTAGTGCGGTATCTTTAAGACATTTTCGGATCAAGAATAGAATCTGGAGTCACTTAAGATCACTGTCATGTTGAAAGGCCTCCAATACTCTTAAATAAATACAATAATCAATCGATCGATCAAAAATCACAACAATAGGGGATGCTTGCCTAAATTCCTTGGACTAAAATAAAGAGAACAATCAATGCATCTTTTATTCGGATTAAAAGTCTCAAAAGGTGACCAAGAGAAACGTGATGTAAATGTAGGCAATGTGATGAATGACGTTTTTTTCATTTTTAAAAATGTAAAAGTCTTCACAAATCGAATTCTGCTCTGTCATTATGGGTATGGGGTGCAGACTGATGTAGAAAAGAAAAATAACAAAGCACAAAATAAAATGTTAGGGTTTAAACTCCATTATACATAAATAAAATGGAGTTTAAATGCTTTCACAAGCGAAAAAAAATATTCCCTTGATGTTCATTCACTATGACCAGACATCTATATTCCATATACTTTTTAGGTTCATTATAATTATCTTAAAACAGAAAGAAGAGAGAGATGAATACCAAAGAAATTAATTGATGTTTATGGAAACATGCTTCTTACTTGTATAAAGGAATATCTGGCTCTTTGCCTTCCGTCCGCAGGGTTAGACAGCACTGCTGCAGCTGTGATTTTGGATCGTTCCAATCCTGGTTCAAGATGAACTCCTGAAACAATAAATGAACAAATTAAACAGACGTGTTTATTTATTTTTAACTTTCAGTGACTTCCAAATTAAAATATTTACAGAAGAAATTATTGTCTTCTATTTAGTCATTTTCACTGTTCAAAAATTAAATGAAAATGTCTCAAGCAAATTTAAGTGTTTAAAGGCATAGAAACCCAAAATTTTAATTGTACTTATTTTTAATTTATATATTTTACCCTTATTAGTTTCTTTCTTCTGTAGAAGTTTATTTTATGTTCAACAGAATAAAGAAAGTTTAACAGCTTTGAGATAAGTGAAGAGAGAATTTTCAGTTTCACCCAAAACTTAGTAAAAACTTACTTGAAAAGTAGATTATTACATTTAAAAGAGTTATAATTTATATGAAAATCAGGTATTAAGTTTAAATGTGATTTAGCCTTAAATTTAATAGTTTGACTTATGAGAAGCAGGACATAAAAAAAAAAAACTTTGTTTAATTCCAATTTATATTCCTCTCCTGAGTTGTAACAGATAGAGGTTCCTTATAATCACAAGAATTTAATGTAGTAGTATCAATTACTTTAGGGGTACTTACTAATAATTAAATCTGAAAAAAATAAATCTTTTGGTTTTAGACATACAGAAAGCGACTCTCGTCCATCTGCCGCAAACATATTGTAAACGTTCAGAACATAATGCATTGTCTGCAAAAGCTGTTTTTGGAGGAGACAAGCAGAAATTATCACTGTAATAGCCCTGGCTCAGTCCAGCTTGTCACTAAAGTACAGTATGTAATACAGAAACACACACACAGACACTGACAGACACTGACAGACACTGACAGACACACACACACACACACACACACACACACACACACACACACACACACACACACACACACACACACACACACACACACACACAGACACACACAGACACACACAGACACACACAGACACACACACAGACAGACACATGAATGAATGAATGAATGAATGAATGAATGAATGAATGAACGTTATGAAAACGATAGTTTGTTGTATAGTTGCATTCATACTAGAAGGGAACTGGACCAGAGTTCACGTGAACTGTACCCCAGACCACCTCTTTTAGGCGAACTCGGGTACAGTTCACGAGTGTGCACCCAAGTTCAGAAGACACCTTCACACTAACTAAACGTACCATACTCTAATGTCAAACGAACCCGGGTGTGGACTAAAAGTGCTAGTGGGAAAGTATCCTTGGTATAGTTCCTTTAAAACACTGACTTTGCAAAACATGAAAAAAGATGCCCATCTATAAAATAAAATAAAATAAAATAATCTAACCTATTTCTTAGCTGATCTCTATTCTAGTTTGTCATACCTTGAGTCGTGGGAAGAAGCAAACGTTCATGAATGTGTGCACAAATTCCAGGTCTTTATCTATGTAAAGTGCTGCGATAAATGCTGAAGTTAGAGAAAAAAACAACAAATTAATCGAAATCCACACAATAAACATTAAGTATTTTAGATTAATATAAATGCTGTATCTGAAATAATAATACTGCTGTATAAAATCATTTATAAATAAATAAATACTTACATTTCTGTAGGATTTTAGCTTGCAAAAAAGTTTTTATTGAAATAATTTAAATATAGTAATGTCACACTTACACTCCAACAAATCTGCTAAAGTCTTTGTCCGTAGGGCAACTGGTCGTTTGGTTTTGTCATTGGTAATGGCAAATTCCTGCATACCCAACTCTTCTGCAACCTTCGCTTGAGTCCGGTTATTTACCAATGAGCTGCGCAGGAGCTACAATAAAGCACACAAACATTTTCAATTCGTCTTGAATATGTACATACCTCATTTATATATTTTACTTCCTAAAGATTCATATACGAAAATGTAACCAACTAAAAAGATTACCAAATACTGTATATAATTTCCAGATCCCAAATTCAAAATTTTTAAATATAAAATTATATTATACAGTTGAAACCAGAAGTTTACATACACTGTATAAAAAGACACATAACCATTTAAAAAAATTCAGATGTTAATGTGATTTTTTTTAAGGCAAGTTAAAATTATCAAATTTGTTTCTGTTATGCTTAATAGCAGAATAATGAGAGAGTTTTATTTTTTTTGAGAAATTTTTATAACTTTTCTTGAAAGTCAAGTTTATATACAATAAGATTATTGTGCCTCTGTAAAAGCTTAGATGATTGTATGAAGACTTTAGAAGTTTCTGATTGGCTAATTGAAAACATCTGAGTTAATTGGACGCAAAACTGTAGAATAGTATTTAAGAAAAACCTCAAACACACAGCTTCCTTGTGTGACAACAAGGGAAAAATCAACAAAAAAGCCAGATTATTCTCCATGCGCTTCCGTGGGTTTCCTCCGGGTGCTCCGGTTTGCCCCACAGTCCAAAGACATGCAATACAGGTGAATTGAGTTGGCTAAATTGTCCGTAGTGTATGAGTGTGTGTGTGGATGTTTCCCAGAGACGGGTTGCGGCTGGAAGGGCATCCGCTGCGTAAATACTTGCTGGATAAGTTGGCGGTACATTTCGCTGTGGCGACCCCGTATTAATAAAGCAGCTAAACTTACAAGATAATTAATGAATGTATGTCCTGTGGTCTGATGGAACTAAGATTGAACTGTTTGTCCATAATGACCAGTGTTACATTTGGAGGACAAAGGGTAAAGATTACAAGCCAAGGAATACCATCCCAACTTTGAAGTATGGGAGTGGCAGCATCATGTTGTGGAGCTGTTTTGTTGCAGGAAGGACTGGTCCACTTCACAGCATAGATGGCATCATGAAGAAAGAACATTACAGTATGTAGAAATACTGAAGCAACATCTCATGACATCAGCCAGGAAGTTTAAACTTGGCCACAAATATCTCTTCTAAACAGACCATGACCCTAAGCATACTGCCAAATTAGTTAAAATGTGCTTTAAGGACAACAGAGCGAATGTTTTGGAGTGGCCATCACAAAGCCCTGATCTCAATCCTATAGAAAATTTGTCAATTGAAAAAGCTTGTGCGAGCAAGACAGCCTACAAATCTGACTCAAGTTACATCAGTTCTGTTAAGAGGAATGGGCCAAAAATCCTTCAAACTATTTTGAGAAGCATGTGAAAGGATATTCAAAACATTTGACCAAAGTTTTTCAGTTTAAAAAGCAAAACTAAAAAATACCAAGAAAATTTTCTTATTTTAATTTTTGAATGTCTCGAAATTCATAAAAAAAATTCTCATTATTTTGGTATTTAGCAATTGTAAATCATTTAAGTAATCCTAAAGCCTGGTTTATACTTCTGTGCAAGTGATCGGCAAGTGACTCATGGTGAATGCAACGCACATAGCTTTGCATTTATAATTCTGCGCACTGTTTCTGTTGTTCTGCAATAACACTTCCGAAACAATGTTCCACTGTGTTGAGTTTCTTCGCTGGCGTTTTTCTTTTCAGAACACTTCCTTAATGTACAAGTGGCTCAAACTCGCCAATTTTGAGGCAGGAACCGGCAGACGGGCAACAACTTTAACCATGAGGTAAACACAAAACAAAATTTTCCATCCGGAGCTCCTTCAAGGGACTCTACACTTGTAAACACTCGCTCTATCAGGCTTGCACGGCTCTCAGTCCCACCCAGACTCGTCAGCGCTACCTAGACGACCAATCACAGAGCATAAAAGCTATCGCTGCAAGGTTATTTATTTATTTTTTTTAATTTGCCTTTCAAAAACATAACAATTTAGACAAAACTCAGTCCAAACATAATTTTGCACAAACTGACTGAGACATGTCAGATATACAGTGAATTAAATACAAACCAAACAAAAATAAAATAAAAATACAAATGTACAAAATAACTTAACAAAAATAAATAAATAAGAAAAATAAAAATAAAAAAATAAATAATAATAATAACAATATACCATGCAGACATCAAACAGAAACTCTGTAAGGGGTTAAATAAAACCATATTCTAAGAACAAATCTTATAATTTTTTAGCCTTCTCGCCTTTCATTATTTTTAAAGCTTCTACACAGGTGGCAAACTCCTTTTTAAACACAATTAATTGAGGAGCTGTTTTCATAATTTTGCATTTGTGGATGAAGCATTTAAGTAAAATGAGTAAACAATTTGCAGAAGAAGTCATCATCTTTGCCGTCCAAATGTACACCAAATTTCACAATGTCCCAGCAAATAGAAGGAAACCTTGAAATTTATTGTTTTATCCAGACTTCCACATTAGACCAAAAAGGATTAACCAAATTACAATGAAGCATTAGATGTTCAACTGTTTTATATCACTAGTGTAAAATTTACAAACATTTAAAATTCACATTATTTAAAATGTACTTGTTTGTATTTTGGAGAAAGAGGAATATCATTATTTTTTTTAACTAAACTCTTATTAAAAGGTTGGAAAATATTATTTCTTTTAATAGGACCAGGATAGCATTCCTCTATAAGACATTTTCTTATAAATATATTTGTACATTTCTTGTCCATAAAAGTTAGCTTACCAACTTTAATGTCCCGAATTTTTGGTGTGACTGGAATAAACTAGTGTGCGTTGCTGCAACGTGTAGTTAATTTTTTTTTAGAGGTGCGCGTTAGCGACGCCGACGGCCACGGCAAAAAGCTATGCATCAACGCGTAGGCTGTGCCTTAGCATTCGCGTGCGTTCGACGCAGGAGTATAAATCAGCCTTAACCGACCTAAAATAGTAAGTGTTTAAAAAAATAGTTATGTACCATTTTTTAGAGTGCATGTAAACTTCTGGTTTGAACTGTATATCCAGAATTCTAAGAAATGATCAAAGCATGGTGACCTGGATAATATCTCACACAGGATAAATATAGCTCTTCATGATCACTACAGCAAATAGGGAGTTAAAGGAATAATTAACCCAAAACTAAAGATTTTTTCGTCATAACTTCATTATGATCAGTTTTTTTTCTCCTGTTAAACACAAAAGATGATATTTAATACATACAAAGAATAGTGAAAACCTGTAACCATTGACCTCCATACTATTTGCTTTTCCTCCTATGAAAGTCAATTGTAACACGTTTCTAACAGAAACTCATTAAGGTTTGAAACCACTTTAGTGTGGGCGAACTATTGCTTTAAAAAAATACACTGAAATAAAAAAGGAAGTTAAGCTAACATGAAATGAAGAAATTATATAGACATCCTTACTGTCAAATGTCCTTCGTGATGGTCTGGGAAGTGGATGAAGAGATATTCGGTTGCCACAAGCTGCATGATAGAGTCTCCAAGAAACTCCATCCTCTGGTTGTGGCCTCTGCAGACAGGAACATCAGTTGCATGAAGATCTATTTTTTAGATAACTACTTATACAATTACGGTGTTGCATTTCCAGACTAGAAAGGTGCATAAATATTATGGCTCAAACTTAAATCCTTAATTATTGGTGCTGGAAAGATACTCTAACCTACTATATAAGAAAAGTCACACCAGACTAAATGTTGCAATATTTTAAAATAAAACAAAAACACACATACAAGAATGCCACAAGTATGCACAAATGTCACATATTTTTAATATATTCTGAAACAATGTAAAAGGAGCTACCACAACTCTAAATAATTCTTAACACTTAAAACAAACATTATCGTGCAAATGTAAATTGTGTAATTAATACAAAATCCATAAAATGAATACATATTCAGAAAAAAGAAGAAGAAAGACAAAAGTATAAAACAAAGTGAAATTATTGTGGCACTGACTATACATTTCAAACCCAAACACACATATTTAAAGCCAAATAGAACTTGTGGAGAGTTAAAAATGCACTGCACAAACAGATATATACATACATACATACATACTTGTATGTGCAAGACTCCGGTCCTTCACGATCAGTCATCCTGTGACGTCTACTATGAGCATTATTTCCCAAAGCAGTCACAAGTGTTGCTATAACAATATTTATTATCTCAATTTTATTTATTTTTTTATCTTTTTTTTCAATCTCAGTAAACACTCATACTAATATACTTATACTAATACAGTCAACTAATAACTACATTAGTTAAGGGCATTCCTTATGACATGGATAGGATCAAACTTATGATTGCTTTTTAATATTAAGATATTTTCTTTAAAATCTAAATGTATATTTTCCAGCCATGAAAGCACAAAAGCAGCAGCAAGGAAAATCAGATGCTCAAGATGGATTATTTTCAAATATTAACATATTAAAAAATGTGCAAATATATAACTGAGACTTGAGATACAATCACAGTGAGGCATTCATAAATCCTTTTTTCCTTAGAGTGAAACAAATCATCCACCCGTATAGTTGAGTAGTGGAGGGGCACAAACAAAAATAAAATTCATATATTTTTCTTGGAATGAATTTTGCTTGCTATAATTTTGAACTTAATTTTAATGTTTCCTTTGTTGGTCAGTTATCTATAAACAAGAATAACGATTTGAGGTGATGCACTTTATAAGTCCGCTATATGTGTCAAAACATGAATTGCCGTGAGATTGTGTTGGTTTGTAAAATAAAATAATAATCTAGCTTAAATAAAATTAAGGTGAAATTTTCAGTTTCAGTGAAGCCTATATTAAACAATTTTCACTATTTATACCACATTTAAATGAGCAGGAAATGCTTTTGCAATGTATTCGCAGCACTGTTGGAAGGATGAGAGAACTCAAAAACTCGTTTTGAAAATGGAGATATCTGCATATTTGTGCCAGTCTGTCAGATAAAATAGCTTAAACACTTTAATATTTTAGAAAAGGTAATTAAAGTTTGCTTAACCAATGTTATTCACCCATGACCCACCCATAAGTAAATATGCAGCCTACTTTTTGATTACCTGACCAGCACATTAACAGCAGCACCCACTAATATAATCAAGAAATGATGTAATCCCAGTGGCGCAAAAAGGGGGTATGCAGTATATGCGGCGCATAGGGGCGCCACACATGGGGGGGCGCCATTGTGCCAAAACTATTTTTGAAATTATCCTTACTAAAAGTTTCAAATAAAAAAAATAAATAAATAAATATGTTTTGTTAAAAATGTTTTTTTTGCATTTTGTATGAGTATAATATTGTATTTTAATAAATAAAAAATTATACCATGAGTTGCATACGTTGGCACACACATTTTAATTCAAAAACAACACAATAACATGCAGTCGCAGAGCCAAGTGTAAAGTGTTCATGTAAATGTAACTTTAGATTTTTTTTACAATTTTTATCAAAATAAAACTGTCAAATCATACATACAGTAGAGTTGAGGTCAAAAGTTATAAGATTAATCTGAATTTTTTCTTTATTTATTATTATTTATTATTAATTATTTAATTATTTTGCCTAAATAAGAGGGATCACACAAAATGTATGTTTATGTAAGTACAGACCTATTTCACATAAACCGATATTTCAGATAAAATATTTGGATTAAAAATTCACCTATATAAATATTATATACTTGATTATAATGATTCTTAACCCTGTTAAAGTTGACACATGAACAAATTGTCCGAATATTCACATTTTTTGGAACTGAAATGTTTTTAATCCTTCTATCAAGATCCATTTTATACAATATACATGTTTTTATAAATTTATTATGTGTCATATTGATACATCAGGCCTTTTGGTAACTTTTTTTGTTCAAAACTATTTTATTTTAGTTACAAAACTTGAACCCGCATACCTCTCAGTATATGTGTAGTTGCGCCCCTGTGTAATCCAATTGCACAGCGTCACCCACGTGACGGAACTCGACATGAAAAACTAGAAAAAAAACTAAACATGCTAGACTTTATGCGGTAGTGTCATGAAGCATCGCAGGTATGTTTTCAGTTGTCATGAACTATGCCACATTACACGAGAAGACAATTAAATCTTGTTTCAAGACAACCATTTGTCATTTAAAAATCATGTCGAAATTGGACAAATTCGTGTGATCTGACAGGGGCTTAAGTTGTAGCATGATTTAGATAATGAATAATATATACTTATACTTACAAAATGTGTACTTATATTTCGAAAAAATAGGGGTGAAAGATGGAGCATTGCGTGGTTTGGTTGGCGTCACTCATGAGCTTAAATTTTTCATCAAAAGTTTATATCGCAATTTTTATGGTTGTTTACAGCTTATCTTTTAAGCATATTTTTTTTGTCTTTTAACAAGTTCTTTGTGTGATAATCTGAAAGACTTATAATCTTTATGTGCTTATAATGTTTATAATAGAGTATATGTATACATTTTATTTTAATTTTAGGTCAAGCCTCCCGAGGACTGGTGTTAAGAATTAGCAAGTCTGCTAAAACACTTAAACAAATGCATTTGGTTGTCTAGTGTAATTGTGATGTTCATGTAAAAATAAATAACCCAAAACAAAAAATTATTTTTACAAAGTCACAGAAGGACTGGGGCTCTTACAGTGTGAGGTGGTTGAAGCCCACTGTCCGCAGAGTGAAGGCCCTCGCTAGGAGACGTACATGAGTAAACAGCACTCCGATAGCATCCTCAAAATTAGTGAGTTTCTGCAGAACCGGAGAGGATTCAATCAACTGCCTGTCAGTCAGGGGCTCCTGCACCTAGACGTATAGCAGAACATTTACACATTACATATGTATAACAATTTCATTAGTACAATTAAGTTTATACACATCTTTTATTATAAAATGGCACATAAACAGCTGAAATTTCAGTAATGTATATAACAACATAAAACTGAAAATCCTGTCATTTACTCATCCTAAAGTCTTTTTTACTCCATGACATTTTGGACCACAAATCCACTTGTAAATTTGCTGCAACATATTTTTAACATTCCTTTATCCTTTTTGTCAATTGACAGAATGTCTATAGGCAATAAACATTTACAAGTTTAAAGCTTCATTACAAAATTCCTAAACTCATACAGACCCTTTTAATTTAATATTTTTAATAAAAAAAAAAAGTATTTTACGGAGGCATAATTGCATTATGTAATGAGCAGTTTAAACTATTTCAACCAACATTTTATTAAAATACAAATACTATTTACCTTCAATAAAAATTAAGGCTATATTAATAGCCCTCCAATACATTTTTTAAATTTTTTTTATTTCCAAACTGCAGTTTAACAAAGACATTTAAAAAAAAAAAAAATTTAAGATTTAAAAACTAATTTTAAGTAAATAATTTCTCTGCCATGATGACATTACATAATATTGTACCTGTTATTTTACATGATGCAAGTATTCAGCTTAATGTGCAATTAAAGGATTTAAATAGTTTTATAAGGGTAAATAGGCAGGTTAACTTGGTACATCAAAACAAAATAGCCCTCTCAAAACTTAACATTATGTCATTAACTCTCCCTTAACTTGTTTTTAGACATATTTGACTTTCTTTATTCAGTTAAATACAAAAGTGATTTAAAGAGAAACATGTAACCATTTTGGTTACTTCAATGGAAGTCAATGGTTACCGATTTTCAGCTTTCTTCCAAGTATCTACATTTTCTTTTAACAGAATTTAAAAAATAAGGTTTAGAACTACTTGAGGGTGAGTAAAATATTATTTTTGGGTAAACCAACCCTGTAATAGGGGCTAATAATATTAACCTTCAAAAATACATAAAGTTGAAGAATTATTAGCCCCCCTAAATTATTACAACACATTTCTAAACATAATAGTTTTAATGACTCATTTCTAATCCCTGATTTCTTTTTTCATCTTTGCCATGATGACAGTGAATAATATTTTACAAGACACTTCTATACAGCTTAACTAGGTTAATTAGGCAGGTTAGGGTAATTAGGCAGTTTATTGTATAACAATGGTTTGTTCTGTAGATTTTGACTTTAAAATAGTTTTTAAAAAATGTAAAACTGCTTTTATTTTAGTTGAAAATAAACAAATAAGACTTTCTCCAGAAGAAAAAATATTGTCAGACATACTTTGCAAATTCCCTTGCTCTGTTAAACATCATTTGGAAAATATTTGAAAAAAAAAAAAAATTAAAAGGGGGCTAATAAATCTGACTTCAACTGTATATATTTTAAAATTATTTAACTTCAAACAAAACAAATTATTACTTTCTCCAGATGAATTCTTTGAACTTTCATAATGAACACCAGTTTGTAGTACAAATAATTTTACCATTTACTGCATTTTATCATTAATTTTCTAGATAATTAAGTGACTAGCACGTGTATGTACATGTCTGTCTTACACAGGTACATGACAAACATTTGAAGTGATATGTGCACACACCTGTAAAGGATGAGGTGGGTAGTTGAGCCAAACTTCTCTCATGTCCTGCAAGACAAAAACAGGAAAAAAAAAAATCTACATTAACAACAGCATAGACTACTTGAGAAGAATTTGTACACAAAAGAATCTGAAATTAGACAAGAATGACTTCAGTCAACAACCTTTTGGCAACAAGAATCATATTTTTAGTTAATCACTATGTATTTTTAAAGTTTAGATTAGACTTTGAAGTGCAGTTTTACTATGTACATCACGCCAATGTTGTAATTAGAAAAAACATTTTAGGCTGCATGTCCACCAAAGTGTTTTTTTTCCTCGAGCAGAGCATTTGTTTTTTTATACTTTTGAGCTAGCCATCCAATCACAGTGGTGGATTGGTGGGACAACACCACGCAAGGGTCAACAAATAATCTGCTAAAGATTTTAAACTTGTAACGCTAAAGCGGGGACACTCTATATCATAGCAACAAAAGAACAAAAAAACACTGCACTGCAATAACACTCATAGATGAGCATTTTTACAACATCACTTGCTTTTCTGCAGCCCAAAAAATATTCGGTGGACACGCACCCTAAAGCCTCTTTCACACCATAAGCGCAAGCAGAGCGTAAGCAGCACATGTTTTTTTGGGGTCCATGTTAACAGATTATTAGAGCTTTCATACTGCACACAGTGGAGCATAAGCAGAGCTCAAATAAAGTGACAATGCATTGACAATCACCAAAAATACATTAAAGGACATTAAAATGTGGCAATTTTAAGCAGTGAATGCATCAATAAAATCCACCGATTTTTATATAGTGAATCACATAAACTTAAACAAGAAAAAAATACAACAAATATTTGTTTAGGCCCAAAAAAAAAACAAAAAAAAAAAACAATGAAAACAATTTATAGTATATGATTTGCTTAAGTTGTGCACTAGCTCGATTATGTATAATAACTATTAAAACTATTGTTACAGTCATATGTATATATATATATGTTTTGCTTTTGTGTTTTCTCTCTCTCTCTCTCGATTCTTAGAATCGCCCACTCCAATAACTCATTAGACCGTGAAGACGTCAATCTCTATTACACCCTGTGATGTCATCACATTCGCTGCCAATTAGGATGGAAGCTCAAAGTTTAAAGGGACACGAGCGGGGAAGCTTTTTCTGTCTTAATTGCTTTCTCTTGCTTGCCTTTTTATGTGTGTTTTGGCTTGTTGTTTTTTGCCATGATGTTGAATTTAGAGTTTTGATTTTGGTCTTGTTCTTGTTTTTGGTCGTTGTTACCGTCTTGTATGCGTGTATGTGACGATTCCCTGATCTCTGGCATCAGCCTTCCCCTGGCGGTTTAGATGCAACATAACATACACCTAGCATCACGGAAATAACTCCACTTTCTAAAGCACACTAGTTTAGAAGGGAGCGCCACCCGCTGTACGTTTTTTCTGTATTTTTGGTTAGAAGAGTAGTTTTAGTTATAGCGTGAAAACGCTAAAGATGTTTTGTTTGTTTATTTTGAATTTGATAGTTTAGAGGAGGGGGTCACCAATCCTGGTCCTGGAGGGCCGGTGTCCCTGCAGGGTTTAGCTCCATCTTGCCTCAACACACCTGCCTGGATGTTTCAAGCATACCTAGTAAGACCTTGATAAGCTTGTTCAGGTGTGATTAATTAGGGTTTGAGCTCAAATCTGCAGGACACCGGAACAAGTTTGGTGACCACTGGTTTAGAGGGTAAATTTCAGCTAAATTTGGGGCTTTGTTATATTACTTTAATTTATTTGGCACCAATTAATTCTTGTTTCCCCATCCATAATATGCATTGATTGATTAATTTTCTTTTGTGAGATCTTGTATATAATAGTTTTGCTGTTTGACTTCTTTTCACTTTTGTAAATAAATTCATTTATTTTTGTAGTATTTTGATTGTTGTTTTGCTATTTAGCCACCAACTCACCACAAAATTATCAAATCAATTGTTACTTCTTTTACACCCTCAAGCCAAACTTGAAAGTCGCAACAACTATATTTGTTTAAATATTAGGCTATTAAAACTATAGATTATGGGCGACGCAGTGGCGCAGTAGGCAGTGCTGTCACCTGACAGCAAGAAGGTTGCTGCGTCGGTTGATGTGAAAGACAAATGCCTGTGAGCTGCTTCTGCTCTCCCTAGGCACTGCGCACAAACTGCAGCTGCTCTACTTGCGTGTGTGACATGAAAGTGGCGTTAGGGTTGAACTATCCTTTATTGCTGATGCAGTAGCGATCCTAATGCAGACTGCTGATCTATGATATTCCATGTGATGCCAAGTAAATTTATTTAGTTTTTGAAATTTATTTTAGAAAAAACAACTCTTTGAGCTTTCAAAAAAAGCAACTTTTAAACCATTTTTTATTTCTTTAGGAATTAACATATTAATTTTTAAATGTAAAATTGTCCTGTGCCCAACTTGAACCAATAAATTGTTTTAAAACCAGGTTTTGAAACGTTTTAAAACCACAAAAATTTTCTCTTCAGCAGAAAAGAACCATCTACATCCACAACAGCTACTAGTCAGCCCACGAATCAGCAAACATTTGAAAAACAAATTCACTTATGCATCAACATCCAAGAATGCTTTAGACCTGAACAGAGCAGTGGCTTATTTATATCCAAAGAAAGGAAAGAAATCCAAAGATGCCTTTTCAAGCAGTAAAAATGTATTTATAAAATTTTTATGAACATATAAAACACAAGAACATAAAGCTCACCTCAGTGTTAAACAGCAGTCTTCCAAAGAGATCCTTGGCTTCTTCTAAACCCCCTTCTAGGTAAACAGCCCCTAAAACGAACACAAATCAATTTTAAACAAATTCAGTACTTTTCAAAGGTTTATGAAAGGAGTCGGCAAGAAGTTTGGCATTAGGCAAAAAATAATAATAATAATTGCAATTAGATGGTGGGCCAAAGCATAATCAAAAGATAATAAAATAATAATTGAGAAAAATGTAACTACAATTGTCTTGGGCATAATATTGTATATTTTGTAATTAGAGGGTATTAAAAATGTAAACTATGGTATTAAAATGTCTGGGTTTTACAACAGACAAATAAAAGCAGAGTAGTGACACATACTGTACAGTTGAAGGCAAAGCCTGTGTGCCTTAATAAGTCTGTTTTAGAGGGGTGTCTATTTATCCACCCATCAACTCTTTTAAACGTCTTTCAGACTTTTCAGAACAAATAAAAGCTCTCAAATTATCTTAAAATAAAACATTTCTGCAAAAAAAATGTTCTCATTCTTTTATTTTGAAGGCAAAATCACCAAATGATGAAGTGTTTATGAATAACCATTTCTGGCATGTGCTTTTAAAATAATCTGGCTGAGGGCATGGGTCAGATATTAATGCTGTTGCAGACCACTTGTTTAGGATCACAAGGAATTATTATATTCCTTTAAGAATTTTGAATCAATATTTGAACTACTCAAAAGGACTGTAAAGGTTGGTTTGATCTTATTCATTAGGCCTCACACACTACAACATCTTGGTGGCATATTTAAAGTGCTGAAATCCAGTGGTGAAATAATCATTGTAAATTTAACAGTTGGCTTAGGTTGTATTAAAACTTCATATTAAGTCGAGGCTGTTTTGAAGACATTCAGATGTTGAGCACACACCTATGGTTGTATTTTTTAATTTATATATATATATATTTAGTTTGTGTAAATATTTATTAGTACTACATAAACAACATAAATATCAGTATCAACATTTTGACAAGAGTGTTGGGAGACACATGAAATGAAACAAAGAGACAGACTTTAAGAGAAAGAACTAACCTATCAGGGCTTCAAAACAGTTTGCCATGGCATGCCGGAGATCTGACTCTCTGCACAGATCAGGGCCGTGGGCATATAGCATGAAACGATCCAGCTCCAGTTTCTGGGGATCCAAAACAATTATGAATATAAATAAAAAAAATATCAAAACTCACAAACAAAAGAAATACTCAAAGAAATTATGTGCTAAACAACACATCCATCTTACATTGGAAGGCAAATGAACAGTGTATGTGATTGGATGCCATCAATCTGTTCATGTAATCTGATGTGTTACAATACAGTCAATTTATTTAATCCAATGAGCACAAAATCACATGCAAGCTATAAGTGGCCAATTGAAACAGACTCTGACGTCACACACAAGATAATGAATATGCATGCTCCGGACAGTGTTTGATTGGCTGAGCAAACACTGAACGTTTCCTAGTGAGATTACAACAATATATATTTGTTATATTCTAAATTAGCTATATTTTTTATGTACTGTAGGTGGGAATAGGGCTGCACAATAAATCAGCAAAAAATAACATTTGTGATTTACCAAAAGCTGCAATTGTCTTGCAGATCTTGTGAGAAAAGTACAGTGATGTGATCCGATAAAAAGTAAATATGCTCCAAAGGCCAGAGAGCAGAAAAAAAGGACATTTTATAGCATTTGGTAAATAAGGAGAAGATTTAACTGCCTTTATTAATTCAATGAGATTAATAAACACAAAACCACACAATTTTCTTATTACAACTCCCACTCATAGCTTTTGATTGTTATTCTTAGAGAGACTTAACAGCCATACATTTTATTACTCTTTCTTTCCAAAGCACAGGGAACATTTAGGTAAACAGTCACCTTGGCAAGCATGGCAAGATGCTGGTTCTGAACGATTGCTGTGCGATATGTGGCAAGTCCTCCTTCCTCTAGGCTTGGAAATAGGTGGTAGAGGTGCACACTGGAAAAGAAAAACAACACTAAGCGAATAAACAAACTAACAACAACAAAAACTGTCTGTATGAAAGGAGAAAGAGCTACTCTAAAATGAGAAGGAAACTTCAAAAAATAACTCAGACATGTTCTGCATAAAGATACATTTAAAGCAAAGGTAACAGGAGGTCAGAGGTCCCACCTAGTCAGAAACTCAACAACTGCATCTCCAAGAAACTCCAAGCGCTCATTATGATTGATCCTGTTTGACAGACAAAAATCCATTTATATTTTATTAATGAACACCAAGAGCCACATTTATTAACAGTCTGAATAAAATCCTTCTTTAGGTGTGAACATAAAAAAAAAAACAATAATAATCTTACACTTTACAATAAGGTTTCATTAGTAAATGCTAACATGAACTACTAATGAACAAAGCTTGTACAGCATTTTTTAATAACAGTTCAACATTTACTAATGCAGTATTAAAATATAAACAGTAATGCACAATGCATGAGTTAACATGATTAACTAACGACAAACAACTTTATTTCCATTAACTAACATTAACAAATATGAATTAATACTGTATTGTTCACTGTTTTTAAACAGATTATAAAATACAACCTTACTTATTGTACTGTTACCAAAGTATGCAGTAAAAATGACCAATGAAAAAGCCATAGTTGATATTGTAGAAGCTCCTATTTCAAATACAATATTTATTAGAAGACAATAGTAAACAAAAAATGCATTGTTTACTTAAGACTGCTGCTGTACATATACTGATATTTCAAACTGTACCATTACTTTACACTCCTTAAAATTCATGTCATTAACTGGGGCTAGACAGAACATTTTTGCCATTTCGGTGCAGAATTTTTTTTAAAGTCTGTGAACTTGTGCGTAATGATTTTGGGAGTATCGTATCTAAAAACTTAATGAAATAAAAAAATAATACCTTTTAACATTTATTTAATGTTTACTAATTTAAGTTGATCTATCTGTATTTGCAGAGCAAGTCTCTCATAAAACATATCTATTGTAAGACAGAAAATACTAAATAATTTTGTAAATAAATCAATTGAACATTTTAAATAAATTTACACACATTTACACAAGTAACTACATTCAATCACAGGCTAAAATTCTGCAGAATTCTATGCACTTAGCAGCTATAATAGTTGCTGTTAGCAGGAGAAACACGGAGAGTGTGTAGTAAAAGTGAGAGGAAGTTCTGCTGTTATAAGATTGCGTTCTTACAATAATTTGCTTAATTTTGTACATATGGCACTAAATGTTCCAAGTCACAACCAAATGACCTCATTAATATAATGACAAACCACAAACCTGGAAGGTGATGGGTCATCCTGGCCCAGTCGTGACATTATATTGATCAAGGTGTTAATTCCTTATGATAAAGAGACAAATCAGTCGGTAAAATACACAACTTACATTAAAAACATTTTCTAACATACATTTACAAGAATATTTGCTAACCTTTTTTCCTCATGTACATATGATGCACTTTCCGGTCTCCATATTTTGGCTGGCGTATCCCACAGTTGGACAAAGAGTTGCGAGCATGGTCAGGATTCATCCCAAAATTAAGATGATGACTGGGGTGAGTCATTGCCAACTGAAGAAGTAAGAAACACAAAGCAAGAATTAAATGGTATAGAAGTAAAAAAATATGAACATTTAACAGCACACAACTAAAAATAATACCGTTTTCAATTTAGATTTTTACCGTTGATGATATCTTCTACTTTTAAAGTGAAGCATATTTCTCAAGTTAGTTGTTTGAGCATTTTTTTTTAATTGATTCCTAAATAGAAGCTATAAAAATATAACATTTAATATCTCATGATCATTTTAACTGGTGTTTAGCTGCTCTTTCTAAAAGTCATCAAGCGCTTTGAAATTTGCAATTTTTATTTGACAATCTTAACCGAAGACTAGGCAGGACATATAATAGCTTCAGCAATTAAAAAAAAAAAAAAACAACCAATAGCATTTCATTTTATCACAGCTCTGCCTGTGTTTTTATATCTTCCTAATGCAAAATTTTTCATTATTTTGTAGCACATTTGCTTATAGAAATCCTTAAAATCTAAAATACTGATTTGGATCAATGCGGTACAGTGCAGATGTCATCATGTTCAACGGAACAGAGACGTACCTTTAATCTCATCGGATTGCCCCATAAATAACCCACACAGATCATGATTTACATTATGCAGTACCACAGTGGCTTTCAACATGAGATAATTCACTGATAGCTGGGAGAGTTGCTTTTTGTTTACTGTGACTTTTTCTCTGATTTACTTAGTCTGTGTTACCTGCAGCAAGCATCGTTCCTTAAACATGTAACCAATCAGCTTATCCAAATGCATCAGGCACTGGTGATAGCGGATGTGATGGGTGAGAACAGGAAGCATCATAGCGTGCTGCAAAAAAGATCAAATCCGCTGCTTTACAGAAGATAAAATTGTGGTGAACCACTTGTGCTTTACAAAATGATAAGCCAGGTTGTGTTGGTTTAGACTAAAGCTCAACATACACAATACCTAAGGCAGCAGATTAGACTATTCTTGAAATATATGCATTGAATGAGTGTATGTTCATGTACCTGGCAGACGTCAGAACGAATGCCAGTCTTCCAGAAACCCTGACTGCTGAGTTCCACTGTGACCTCCCTTCTCATCGTATTCTTCTGCCTGATCTTCTGGAGAGCTTCCTGTAAATCAGAACCATTAGAACAATGTATCAGGGTTCCCATGCTTTCACGAACAGCAGATTAGCAGAAGGACTTTTTAAAGAAACAATAATGTGAAATAAAGTACCTTTGTAACTCATACCCCAGCACATGTAGCACCATGAAAGTCATTACCTAACTTAACATTTCATTGACAAAACAAGCATAATTTTTAAACATCTTGACCATTTTAAACAGTCATGGCGATTACGGCTGGGTGATATGGAAAAAATGGAATCTAGATAATTACTTTCCATATTGAATGATAACAATATACAGTTGAAGTCAGAATTATTTGCCTCCCTGAATTAGACCGCTTATTTATTTTTCCCCAATTTCTGTTTTAAGGAGAGAAGATAATTTTTTAGCACATTTCTTAACCTAATAGTTTTAATAACTCATTTCTAATATCTGATTTATTTTATCTTTGCCATGATGACAGTAAATAATATTTGACTAGATATTTTTCAAGACACTTCTATACAGCTTAGTGACATTTAAAGGCTTAACTAGGTTAATTAGGTTAACTAGGCAGATTAGGGTAATTAGGCAAGTTATTGTATAATGATGGTTTGTTCTGTAGATTATCAAGAAAAAATATATCTTAAAGGGGCTAATAATTTTGTCCCTAAAATAGTTTTTAAAAAATTAAAAACTGCTTTTATTCTAGCCAAAATAAAACAAATAAGACTTTCTCCAGAAGAAAAAAATATTACCAGACATACTGTGAAAATTTACTTGCTCTGTTAAACATCATTTGGGAAATTTAAAAAAAAAAGAAGAAAAAAACTTGAAGGGGGCTAATAATTCTGACTTCAACTGTATATTTTAATACAAGTTGTTGATGCTTCTAGATTTAAAAGAGTACCTCAACAATGACTGAAGCCACAAAAATTGGAGGGTCCATTAAATGACAACATTTTCGGCTGATAAATTTTTGGTGGGCAAAAATTCATGACATCTCTAATATTAACAAACTTAAGCTTATTTAAAAAAATGTAAAAATATTAACAAACTTAACAAGCTTCTTTTAAAAAAAAATGTAAAAAAATAAATAAAAATAAAAATAAATAATCGCCTGACCTCAAACTTTTGCCCGGTAGGATATGTAAACTTGATTCTCATCATCATGTGTACTAGATTCTAGTCACTTTAATAATACAGTCTTACTTCCATTGCCATATTTATTATTTAAAGCGTTGATGACCTTAGCCAATTACAAGTATGTCAACCACATTTGCAGACACTTACTTCTCTTTGCATCAACTTCTGTTTGTCAATTTGTTTAACTTTTGGGCTGTTGGCCAGCAGGTGTCGCAACTTCACATAACTCTTCCACAACTTTTGATACCTGCAATGAAAGCAGTGTTTTTACAATATACAGTATAAACAACTACAGACATATGCAAATAATCAATCATTTATTATATTGTGATAAAGAACATGCACAATATTGATATCATGGGCACTTACTGTGAATAATTATTTTAAATTTAACAGTCTTTAAGGAAAATTCACATCGTTCAAAAGGTGATGATAATAGTTATACATGGCAGTTTGATCATATTTTAGGTTGGTGAAAGAATAATTTGATCTTTTGCTTTTACGGGCTTCTCCGTTTTTTGCGCTTCACTCTCACGTTTGTCTGTTTATGAAAGGATCGGATGCCAGAAGCGATTCAATAATCACAGGCACGTTATTATCATCAGATCAAAAAGTTGGTTATTTCAAATAGAGGCACACACAAGTGATTGCAAGCTCCCTGGAGAAAGTTAAACCGCTCACACTTTTAGACAGCCTCATAAAACAAAAACAGGACATGGTAGATTTTTTTCTTCTTGGCTTTGTGGCTGTACATCAAAACAACGACAAGGTTTGTTTGGTTGACCATGGTTCATTATTATATGCATAAAGTATTACGATGTAATGTCTCGGCTGTGTATTTAAAAATGGTGGTTTCTTTGTTTTAATTTTTCTGCTTGTGTACAAGCGGGTGGCGATTCTCTGTAAACCAATAGCGTTCAGCTGAGCGTCTAGCTCCGCCTTTTGGTACCCTTTTATGGTGCTGGGTACCCTTTGCAAAGGGTGCTCAAAAAGTGGTGCAGTACGGTTCACTTTTAAGGCTCGTTTCCACTGACTGGTACAGTACAGTACGGTTTGGGTCGTAGGGGTCATCTTTATCAGGTTTATCAGGCTTGCGTTTCCACTACCAAAGGTACCCTTTTGGTGGGCGTGGTGTATGACAGAAAGTTTCAGTTGCATCATTCTCCCTCAAGAAAATGTCTGCAAAAAAGCTGTACGGGTCACTCATATCAAAAGAAAAGCACTTCTTACAAAACAGACACTTTACACACATAAATACTTGTGTGTCAATGTTTAATACTAACTTTTCTATGAACAGGATTTGATTATAACTGCAGATCAATAACAGTGCGAATTAGCCTACTGTAACGTCTGTAATTATAATAAATAAATAAATAAATAAATGAACATATGTGAACACATAGCGACCCTTATAGTCTCCGATATGTTACCAACTACAGAAAAACTACACACAACAGACATTTTGTCCTTATTTAGATTCAAAACAATACAAAATATAGCCTACAGTCAGTGAAATCATTTTATCTGTGTCTGTAGTCTTCAGCAGCACGTGTAGCCTCTGGTAGAGAGTAATTCCATCGTTCCCAGTTCTTATTAGTCTAAAAGGTGATGAAAATAATTAAAACAAGGCAGTTTGTTCACGTTTGCTGAAGAAATAATGTGCTCCTTTTTTCTGGCTTCTTTTTTTCAATTTCGAACAGGATCAGGTTTTTAAAGCACATCAACTCAAGAAGTTTGTTATTTCAGATCTAGACGTGCGGTGAGCTCAAACAAGAAAGCAAGCAAAACCGCTCGCGCTTCAGACTGGCTCGTAAAAAACTACGAGGCACAGGGTAGATTCTGCTCTACTCCGGCTTTGTGGCTGTTCATCAAGATGATGACAAGGTCTGTTTGAGCCCGGAGCAACCATGGCTCATTGGGTTATGTATATATTATTCTGCTGTAATCTCTCAGCTGTGTATTTTAAACATGGCAGGTTTTTTGTTTTCATTCTGGCTTGTTGCGTAAGTGAATGACGTTTCTCTTTAAACCAATAGTGTTCAGCCGCACAAGTAGCTCTGCCTTTTGGTACCCTTACAAAAGGGTGCCGAAAAAGTGGTATGGTACGGTCCGGTACACCTTTTGACAGTGGAAACAGCCATAAAAGCCTACCAAACCGAACCGTACCACTCAGAGGGAAACGGGCCATTAGGTACCTTTTGACAATGGAAACAACCATGAAAGTGGAGCGAACCATACCATGCCACTCAGTGGAAACGGGCCATTATGCACCCTGCATTGTCATGTTTTAACTGCCTGCTGCGTCTCCCCTTTGCCCTTGTGCACTGTTCGCTCGCAGTTGAAAAAAGTCAACTCTAAATGAAAAAAGTATGTTATGTCAGTTTTGTCTCTTTCATTCTCCAATCAAATGAAAGCAGAGGCGGGTTTCCACTATGGCGACAACAATGTTTGTGTTGTCAAGAAAACTAAAAAGACTTTTGAAGATGGATAAGAGACTAGTAGTAAAAGCATTAAATCTTGAATACCACAATATTATGAATTTATACAATTATAACAATATCAACAGCAACACAACAAGCAGAATGTAACTTTTGTAACCCTTAAACTTTTGAAATCCAAATCCTCTAAAGGATTGTTAGGCTGCATTAATTAGGGTAACCAGAGCTGGGAACACTTCCCAAAAGACATGATAATTTGAACGACATCTACGCTTATGTTAGTCTGTTTTTCATAATCCTAAGATCTCCATAATCCTAGACCAGGCTGTATCCTAAGCAGATGCTGTGGCGGTCATGGAGGAGTGGAGAGCATGAGACAGCTTTGATCCAAAAGGGCCAACCTGTACACTTGCCGGTGACCTACTCACACACAAATGCAGGTTCTCCACAACAAACGCCCAGCGTTCTCCGGCCTCTGGCACATAGACTGCAGCTCTGCACAGAAGAAATGGTCTTGCCCAACTGAGCCTGGTTTCTCTCAAGGTTTTTTTCTTTCACTTCAATTGGTGAAGTTTTGTTCCTTGTCACCAACATCACTGGCTTCCTTGGTTTGGGACATGTGGAGCTGTGCATCGATGGATTTGCTCTTCAGTGTTTGGACTTTCAGCAGTGAAATTTAAACCACACTGAAATGAACTAAATTCTTTAACTCTAAAAACTGGACTGACACAGTTTTAGTTTATTATAATCTTCTATGTTAAGCTGCTTTGACACAATCTACATCGCAAAAGTGCTATAGAAATAAAGACAAATTGATTTGAACTTTAAAAATTATTTTTAAACACGCTTCAGCAATTAATCGTAACAAGAATATGTGATAGCAGCAGAAGAACATTACAATCATTATCAAAATATTAATAAAGACCTATCTATTAATCAAAAACTAGAATGGAAACTGATACAGCACAATAAAGTTGCATCCTCACAAGAACTGCAATTTCATAAAATAAGAGTTCTGTTCATACAAACAATAGCAGCTAATGATCCATTGTTTTCAGCCTCTTGAAAAAGCTCAGAAGATGAAAACTCCCTCCACAATTAGACACAATTAGACACAATTGCAAATGAAATTAGTTTAGACTCATATCCCTAATTATAAGAACCACTGCAGAAAACTCATTAGATGTTTCTTAAGCAAGCATACAAGAATAGAAATGGTAAATGCGGTCACACTTACTGCGGGTCTCCAGCGTAGCTAAGCTGAGCAGGTCGGATACCAAAATGCACAATTATGGGGAAAGTAATGACACTGGAGTTGAACTGCTCACGGTCCAACTGGTCGATTCTCACAGAGCTGGGTTTCTGTGTAAATATAGGCACACACATATTTTGATGACATGACAGCACTAGAACAGTGGGCATCCTCAAGGGAAAAATAGCCATTGCTTTCTCCACTGGGAAACAGATTTGTAAGGGTAACATATGAACTTCTAAAGCCTGTTTTTAAATTGTCAAGGTTGTCGGTTGTTTGTATGTCATTGACTGCCTTGTCATATGTCATCTAACAGCACTATTTTAACAGTTGGATTGAGGGTTGGATTTTAAACTTTGTAAAACAAAAACTTGTGTTGTACAGGAAACTCTATCTGTTTTCTGTATTTTTAAATGCCTGTTTACACATGATCACTTTATGGCAATGTATTTGCATTTTTACGAAAAAGTTTGTACGTGTGAAAGGGGCAAATGTTTTGGGATTCTTCTCTGAACCCCTGCTGTTTATGGAAAATTAGGATTTGTGTTCAACAGACGAATTGAGTTTTAATTTCTGGTTTAAGTAATCCTTTAAACCAGAGATGGCCAAACTAGGACCCGAGGGGCAAAGTTGGCCCATGGTAACCCGTGGCACGTGGTATTTGGCACATCATCCCATCTGAGAATGATTTAGAGATTGTCGTTTCAAAATTATGGTAATCTTTATTTTGTTTGTTTTATTGTTAAGCTACAAAAAGCTATCTGAAATTAAATTTTTCAATTTAAATTGTTTAAATTAATCAGATTTAGTTTAAAACTTGCACACGACAGATGGAGGACAATGTAGAGACTTTGGTAAGTGAATTAAGACAAAGGAAGATTCTGCTTGACTAGTATATTGAGCATTGAACTCCCCTGTGTAATAAATATGATTGTTTATGTTTTTATTGGAATAATTTATCATTTAAAAAGTTATGCTGCATTAGTTAATATGATTCAAAGTAAAGTTTTATGTTTATTTTTTCAATACTATGAAAAAATAATTTGATTTAGGATATGACCCATGGCAACTAATGTAAAATAGTTTGATATTTATCTTTAGCCCACGGCTATCAATGATATTTGGCTTTTGGCCCTTCAAAAGAAAAAGTTTGGACACCCCTGCTTTAAATGTAGGGGGGCTACTTTAGGGTGAAGAAAATGGCTGCATTAATTCTCTCTATTGACACCACAAAAATAACAGAAAATGAAAAGTTATGGCTAATAATATATAAAGACTCACACAGACTGATCTATCAGGTTTTATTATTATTACACATACTTTGCTCACAAAATTACAGTAATCATTTTTTGTGTGTCATTGGGCGCTATCACATAGCTGAAGCAATAAGGCGCAAGATGCGCAAGACGTGCAATTTGTAGCAATTTTTAGATGGTCATTTTTAAAAGAAAACCTAACTAGATTTCTGTATGTACTACAGTGGATTGAGTTCACGAAAGTAAAGGAGTGAAGTAAAGAGAAAAGTTAAATAAAAAGATAGTAAAGAGGCTGAATGGAGGAGGCTTGTTCTCTATCCTCACTGCAGATGGTCTGTGTAACTGTTTTCTCGCTAGTGAAGCATTCAGTTTTTCCAATTAAAGCCTGCCATGTAAATAACAAATGTGCCATGGCGCGACATAACTAACTCTAAAAGGAAATGAGAGATGATACTGATCGGTTTGGTGCATGTTAAGCAAACACACATAACTCATTAAGAGAATAAGCACAACCCAGGGCTCACAGCGTATTTTTCCCATTCTTAAATTGGATTCAGACATGCCCTTAATGGTTCTGCGCCATGCAATTTAGACTGCGCTTCAATCGTTAAAATAGACCCCTTTGATGTCAGAAAATAATTTTATGCTTCTGACAGAATATCGTGATTGTGTAAATGTGTCTTACCATGCCAGGGTTAGTGACGATCATGCCCTTGCACTCCTCAGCATATTTCTGCCACTCCAGCTCCTCCCACTGAAGCATATTTGCAATCTCCTCTTCGGGAACCAGAGGTTTGCTGCTGTGTAAGAGATACAGCAGCACCTGATGCATTGACAGCACCTCCTTTCCTCCATCTGACAGCCAAGCCGACAGAAAACAACATTAATTATACTGCCAAATGCATAGAGCCAAATGTACAAACAATACTTAAAAGGAAATAACGTACATTATGACTCATCATCTTAGTTACAATTTGATTTGATTTCATTCTGACATTTACCCTGTAACCAAATTAAATGGCTAAAATTGTATTTATTACAAATAATATTTAAATTAATGTTTAACTGATATCTTAAAATACGATATCTTAGACCAAAAAAACGTAATTTAAGTCATCCTATCATTTTTTTAAACTCCCTCAAATGCCTATAGTATCTACATGTATATCCGACACACACTTTAAAATTATTTTTTTAAAGATTGAATAATAAAGTATAATAAAGGAGATAATACAATAAATAAAAGTTGTCCAGTAAGCTTTATTAAAATTGCTGAAAATAAAAATGTAATCCTACATTAAAACTCTTTTATGTCCTGAAGGAAGAGATATACTTTTAGGTATACTAAATAGCCACTGTAATAGCTAAAAACAGTGTACAATATCAATCAGATGACAGAAGGATTGTAGTATGCAATTGTTTTTGTTGTGTAGTTAATTTCATTGACTTAAATGCGTTATAACAACATGTTTTTTTTTTACACAAAATCTGTTAATCTAGTTTTTTTTAAAAACAGTATTCTATTAAATATCTATATATCTAAAAATCTATTTAAATAAACAAAGCCATTATTTAAGTAATAATATAGTCTTTGTATTAATATGCATGTTTGCAAAATCATATTTTCATTTATATATATTTTTTTTTTTAAAACAGCCAGACAGGCATTTAAAACGCACCTGGCAGGAACCGAACAAACCGAGGCATGAAATGAAACCTCTGACAGCCTAACGGAGAATTTTCTTCAGGATCTGTAAAACAAAGAATCTACATTACTATTGCTGTATGCTCATAGTGTGCTTGTGTATAATTGTACATGCATGTGTACATTACCTGTGAGATTCCAATCATACAACTCCAAGATGTCTTTAAATAGGTATGAGGAAAACAGTTCCAGGCCTTTAACACAGTAGTTCTGGAAAGCACAACAGATCACAATTGCAGAGCATAAGGGTTACTTCACCCACATTAGATTACCCAAAATGAACTATGTGCATAATCATAAAAAAAGCTAAGTTAACTTAACAGTTCCAATGGGTTTTACTCAGCTTCTTTTTAAAGGAACACATTTTATATATCACCTAGATATGTAAAAATCCATTTAGACGATCTCCAGGTCTAGCGGAAGCACTTTTAGCTTAGCATAAAATATTTAATTGGATTAGACCATTAGCATTTCTCTCCAAATTTTTAAAAAGAGCTTTGATCATTTTCCTATTTAAGCTTGACACTTTTGCATTTAGGCCGTGTATTAAAACAGACAGAACATTTTCTAGGTTGATACAGCTAGTACCTATACTCATTTCAGCATAATGATCAAGGAACTTTGTTGTCATATCATGGCTACACCAGATGCATTCATATTTCGCAGAGCTTGAAAATAGTCCCCAACTAGGTAACCTAGGTAACAGTGCTGCTTGACATCATTGCGCCTGAAGAAAGCAAGCAAACATGGCGTAGCTTTCATTTAGGATGAACACAGTTTCTATAATTGTACTTTATTTATAGATAAAGGTCTATGGTTCTTTAAACAATAACTTTGTCTTGCTGGAGTTTATGGCCTTTTTACTTCACTTCAGAATGCATCAATGCCGTTCTTTAGGTCTATTGAAGACATTCATAAAAAATTTCAGCAAATCTAATAAATGTTGGAGACATACTTGTCACATAAACGCACTAAATTGCACTTCAGCAGCGTTTAGTTAGAGCGCACAAGAAAAATCTGCGTTTAAGCAGCGTATATTTGAGGGCTTGCAAGAAGTTTTGGGCACGAACAGAGGAAACTGGCACGCAAGCAAAGTGATTAACATGCTCGTATTACTTGAATGCGATCTTAACTTATAACTTGCACTTATGACAATTGTCATTGAAATAACAACATAGGTAATTGGAAAATCTGTGTAAAAGGCCTGCCACCACAGCTAGAAAAATATAGTTGAGCAAACACTGGAGGAGTCAAGCTTTATATAGAAAATGGATCAAAATTTTTCTTCATTTTGAGCGATGGTTGCTAATAGTCTTATCTGATTCAGTGATTTATGCTAAGCTAAAGTGCTCCCACCTGCCATGGAGATGAACTGAATGGATTCAAATTAGCATATTTCCAAAAAAGTTAATTATTCTTTTAAATAGTCAACTTGTATTTATTAAGGCAACAGTATTAGCTAATTAAAGTAACTTATTACTTTTTACTGTGCATATGTACATTAAAATGTTATTCAATTTAACATTACAAATAATAATCATATGAATTAGATCAAATGAAAACAGTGTGAAATATAATGACTAGTATTATCACAAACCTCAGGTGCCATCTCTTCTATGAAGTGGATGGTGTAATCAATGTTGAAGCGAATAACCCGACACAAAGGGATCTAAAAATACAAGGGAAACAGTCAGTTCAGAGTATACACAGTATGAACTTTAATGCTGTTTGACATAATGAATGCTTCTGTAGTATGCTATTTCACAGAACAGAACATTTTTGAATTGTACACCATATAAATTCCAAAATAACATCCAAGCCCTTCACTTCAAAAATTATTTTCTAACTAAGAGTTTTATCTTGTTTCTAGTCAAAATATCTAAAAAAAAAAAAATCTTAAAATCAAGAAGCATTTTATAGATAAACAAAAATACTGTTTTGTTTTCATGTCAAAATTAATGGTGTGTTCAAAGAAAATGTAAGCAAATAATATTGTTTTTGCTATGAAATAAGATTATTTTGAATGTTAAGGGCGCTTGCTTACACTAGTAAGCGGAGTGTGTGAAAAGCAAGAAAAGCCCTCAAACAGGTACTCATGGTCATCATACTCAATAACCGTTGGCCTATCTGTCTGAAAGAGGAAGAGAGAGAGATCAAAATTCACATAATGAACATACAATATAAGAATACACAACAAATAATTAGATGAAGTAGTTAGATTAAAATGCCACAGAAAATTACCAGGAAATTGGTGGGTGGGGACACAGTTATTCTGTAATGGAACAGTTTTCCAGCATTGTTGTTCATTGGACGACACTGTTTTACTGGCTATAAGAAAAGAATGACCAATCCAATCATTTTAATGTCCCAAAGATTTAATCACAAAGATGAAAATGCTGTATTGCAACTTTTTTTAGCCAAAGTATAAAAACATTTTATTGTTGGAATAAAACAGAAACTAGGACTGTGCAATTATAAAAATACTGTAAATGTATTTGTTCATTTTTACTAGCAATATTACAATTATTATTAAATATAATGTCAACACAAGCAAACTTAAAAAAAATTAAAATTGTTTAAAAAAAAACTATGGCGATTACGTTGGGATTACAATGTTTTAATAGTTTAGTAATTTGAATATGTATACCTGTTCACCAGGGTAAATACTGTGTCGAATTCCAGTTCTTCTGGCTTTGGCACTGCACTTGCATAATGGTCCGTCATTCATCTGAGTTTTCAACATATGAGCAAAGAAATAAGAACAAACACATGTTCACTTTATGCCCTAAATATGTTTAACAATATAAAATTAAGCAATAATTGAGCAGGCATCAATTTAGAATGTGTAGGTAATTTGCATTTAATTTTTATAACTGGAAATCAGTAATGATTAAATATTATAGGATGTGGATGAACACATTTTTTTCTAAAGAGAACACTGCAGAGCAAATTTAAAGTATATAATATTAATAACTTGCATTTAGTAAATTCACATTGTAAATAAATCTTTCAAAACTTTTTTTTTTTTAAATTGATAATTTTCTTTTTTTTCTTTCTTTTTTGTATCATTAGTTTGAAATTTTAAATAAAATATTAAATGATATAGTAAAATGATAAGCTCTTAGCAAAGAGGCTGTAGTGAAACTGAAGCAAACCTGTCCAGGGTCATTGTACCACAGCTCGTCATGAAGGCGGTCAGGATGAGCTTTCTTCCTCTTGATCTCAGCGATGACATCAAACACCTCAGAGTCAGAGCTGCTGGAGCAGGTGCTACCACCTCCATCAGACTCACACTCAGATTCACTGGAACTCTCATCTGCACATAACAAAAAATAACTTTAGAGTTTTAAAAAAATATCTATGTATTTTTTTCATTCTTGTGCTCTGATATAAAAACAATCAATTCATGAGCATTAACTTTCCATACTGCAGAAGTTACACATAATTAGATCAAATGTTCAAAAAAAGCTATTTCTTCTTTTAAATTCCATTCCTTGGCTTAACATCTCACAGCTTGTTATAATTAATGTTATTTATCTGGAAAAACCAACATAATCTGACTCTCTAAGATCTAAGAATACTTTAATATTGTTTAACAGAACTAGGTTAATCTCCAATCGACTACATTGCGTTCAAATGCAGTCTCGAAACACTGAGTAAAGACATTATGTTTTTTTTTTTTTACCTAACCTTTACATTATTTATAGAAACTATTTTGTTTGGGAACTACAAATAAAATAGTTGAAAACTGATTGAAACCATTAAGTGTGATTAAAATGGAATTACTCTCTTAGGCTTTTAGTCTAAAACAGTAAAAACAGGCTAGATGTACATGATGCCTTAATGCTGTACATATTTGAAAAAAGTACAATCTTGCACACAATACCCTGATCCTGGTCCAGTTTGGTCTTGGGTGGTTCCCATTTAGGCCTGATGGATTTGGCACGCTCTTGTCTCTTACCAAGTTCTTCCTCAAAACGCTCGTACAGATCTCTCAACTTACTGGTTCCGACGACAGTAGAGTCGCCCTTTGGGTAAAAAAAAATACAGATGTAAGGTAAGAAACATCTTTAACTTAGAAGTCCTCAACATTTTAGTCACTTTTGACTAAAATTTAGTAACTATAAGGCCTTTTCGTGTCAACTCAACTAAAAAAAAATAATAATTTTGGTCAATTCAACAAATAACGAAGAAAGCCAAATCTCATGGATGAATATTCGCTGAACATGGTTTTTGGTCATCAGTGCACAACAAGAAGCAAAAACATCTCTCTGGAACTAAATCATACAAAATACATTATCCACAACAAACGTTTTTAATTCTTTAAACAAACTCAACTTAAAGTATATTAAGATAATGCTTTTTAAGGTTGCAGGTATACAAACATCATCATTATTGAAAAATATTTTCGTTTATAACAAAGATTCAATCAATCCATCTTTATTAGACTTTAGGTCAAAATCTTAAAAAGCCTTAAAACATGTAATCCATAACATCTAAAACAGACAATAACAATTTACAAAATACAGCAATATAAATGTCATAACTACAGTGTGTAATACTAACCCCTATATGTGATAAACCCAAAATAATGTCATTGTTAGAAGCATTAATCTGGTTGATAATTATAATTTCATGGAATTATTCCTTAACAGATTTTACAAAAAGTCATTTCAGAATGTGTGTAAAAATAAACAACACTTCTGAAACTCATCTTCCAGTAAACTGACTGAATTTGTATAATAATGCATCATTTATTTTAATCACTATGCATGCTCATGTTTCTTCAAAAAAGTTAGTTTGACATGCAATAACCAAATAGGAAAATCATTAATAAGGTCTCCTTATATTTCAAATGAATTAAAAAAAACTAACTTGTGTGGCTGAATTTTAAACAAATTCATGTCAAAAGCTTGTTTCAGGAGTACAGCTTGCTAAAGCGAACTTCCCAGATTTATTGGGACTCTGCATGCCTGCCATCTGTGTATTAGTAACCACTGTGTGTTTGTTCACAGCACCAAATGCGTAAATACTTAACAAGCCATTTAATTTTACTATTGTTACCATTTATAGGCCTTTTGTTCACTAATTATGTACAGTAAGGTTAACAATGAATTTAACTGAAATCAATGTAATGAGAACTACAAAAGCATTTATTAATTTTAGGGGATGTTGATTTATTAGCTAATGTCCAACAACACATTAAAATCGTAATCGTTTTATTAAATAGTCAATAACTAATAAAAATCAGCTCTACATTTTAAATTAGCATATAACAACAAGGTTATTTTTCACTGCTGATTTGAATGCATTAATGTTTACCATGTATTACACACAGTTGAGGTCAGAATTATTAGCCCCCCGTTTATTTTTTTTCCCTATGTTCTGTTAAACGAAGAGAAGATTTGTTTTCAACATTTCTAAACATAATAGTTTTAATAATTCATTTTTAATAACTGATTTATTTTATCTTTGCCATGATGACAGTAAATAATATTTTACTAGATATTTTCAAGACACTTCTATACAGCTTAAAGGGACATTTAATGGCTTAACTAGGGTAATTAGGTTAACTTGGCAGGTAAGGGTAAATAGGCAAGTCATTGTATATGGTATATATGGTTTGTTCTGTAGACTAGAGAAAAAAATAACAATTTACAATTAACAATTTTTTTTGTTAATTTAATATTGCAATTTAACAATTTTGACCTTAAAATTATTATTTTTTTAATTAAAAAATGTTTTTGTTCTAGCCAAAATGAAACAAATAAGGGTCCAGAAGAAAAATTATTATCAGGCATACTGTGACAATTTCCTTGCTCTGTTATTTTGGGAAATATTAAAAAAATAAAATAAAAAATTCGAAGGGGGGGCTAATAGTTCTGACCTCAAGTGTATATATAACAAAAGCAACACAATACAGTTGTTAAAGTAATCATTTTTTACAGCTTATGGCAATATCGTAATAGTATACAATATATTTTATAGTTATAAAAGCTTCAGGAATTAACTGCAACAAGAAAACCTGAAAACTAGCAGAAGCCTGTTCACTACTGTGTTTACCACTTGGTCCATGGGATCATTAGAGTAGTAGTTCTCAGCATGTGTGCAGCGGATCCAAGCAGGTTTGTGTAGCTCCTCCTGTCCTCTGTCCTCCTCATGGCGGTCGATGGTTATCTCCTCAGCCTCTCTGCTCCTGCTGGAGTTCACAGACCTTTCTCGACTGCTTGAAGATCCATCAGTTCTCCTCTCTTTATCCTCTTCCACACGGCGGCGCTTTCTCTCTCGGCTGCCTGAGCGATTGCGAGCGTGTTTACGATGTCTGTCTGAAGAGGGTGAACCTGGATCATCTCTGTGCCGATAGCGTTCTCTGGTGGATGGAAATATACATAGGAGGAACAGACCGTCGTTATACAATGTTTTGCCTAATTACCATCCATAACTTGCCTAATTATAAGCAAAAAACTGACATAGCAATATTTAGTTTTTCTGCAATATATATTGCAATTTGAATAAATTTTCACTGGAAAGAATTTATCATTTTACGGGAGTGTATCTGCATAAAATATACAAAAATATACAAAATAAAATAAAGCACAGATAAAAACAACAGAACAAAGATAATTTAAATAACACTTCATAGTTTTCGGTGGAGTCTAAAAAGCATTGAGAAACTAATCCAAATAAAGGTAAATTAACACTGTATAGTCATTACAGTACAATTTGTCTTTGTTAAAGTGGCAAACGTTAGAATTTCATAAGCCCAAGATACCACATAATCCACACTATTAGAACCAATAGATTAGGTCAAGTTTTATTATTTCCAACATGACATTGCAGATCCTGCAATGTGACTATTGCAGATTTGCACATTGCGATATCTATGCTGAAATGATATATTGTGCAGCCCTAACACACATATGTAGTGAATTACAATGCAGCCACTTTAATAGATATAACACATACTATTGCTTTCTCAGCTATTTATTGAAAGACTTGGTGCTTTCAAGGGTACCCATAACCTACTATTTACAAGAGTACCAAACTGAATAAAGTACTGACGACTTGTAATGTCACAAATAAATAAAATACTGGCTATTTAAATGTCGCAAACAAATAAAATGCTGGCAATTTATAATGTCGCAAACTAGTTTAGTACTCTAGATGCATAATATTGTAGTCATATAATAAAATACCCAAAATCCATTGTAGTAAACTATTAAATTACTCAATGAATTACACAAATGAAAAAAAGTACTGACAATTACAAAGTCGCAAACGAATAAAGTACTGACCATTTATAATGTCACAAACAAATAAAATACTGTCGATTTATCATGTTGAAACAAATAAATTACTGATGATTTATAATGTTGCAAACAAATAAAGTACTGATGATTTATCATGTCGCAAACAAATAAAACACTGTTGATTTGTAATGTCACAAACTAGTTAAAAACTCAAGATTTATAATGTCGTAAGCTACATTGATGCAAAATTCATTGATGCAAACTAGTGAATTACTCAATATTTATTATATCGCAAACGAATACAGTACTGACGACAACAATGTCGCAAACAAATAAAGCCCTGACAATTTATAATGTTGCAAACAAATAAAATACTGGCAAGTTATAATGTCAAAAACATTGCAATATCAATGCTGAAATGATATATTGTGCAGCCCTAATACATATATGTAGCGAATTACAATGAAGTCACTTTATTAAATATAACACATCCTATTTCTTTCTCAGCTATTTATTGAAAGACTTGAGAATAACTGAGAGTGTTTTACTCATAACCTACTGTTTACAAGAGTACCAAACTGAATAAAGTACTGACAATTTATAAAAGTCGCAAACAAATATAATACTGGCAATTTATAATGTCGCAAACAAATAAAATGTTGGTGAATTATGTTGAAAACTAGTGAATAACTCAAGATTTAGAATGTTCCAAATGAATAAAGTACTGACGATTTATAATATTGCAAACAAATAAAATACTGTTGATTTGTAATGTCGCAAACAAATAAAGTACTGACGATTTATATTGTCGCAAACAAATAAAACACCGGCAATTTATAATGTCGCAAACTAGTTAAATACTTTATAAATGTCAAAAACAAATAACTTACTGATGATTGAATGACGCAAGCAAATAAAATACTGGTGATTTGTTGTCGCAAACTAGAGAATTACTCGAGATTTATAATATCGCAAACGAATAAAGTACTGACGGTTACAATGTCGCAAACGAATAAAGTATTGACAAATTAATGTCGCAAACAAATAAAATACTGGCAATTTATAATGTCTCAAGTGAACAAAGTACTGACGTTATATAATGTTGCAAACAAATAAAAAACTGGCGATTTATAATGTTGCAAACTAGTTAAATACTCAAGATTTATAATGTCTTAAGCTAGTGAAATATCAAAAATTCTTAGTAACAAACTAATGACTTACTCGAGATTTACAATGTAGCAAATGAATAAAGTACTGACGATTACAAAGTTGTAAACGAATAAAGTACTGACCATTTATAATGTCGCAAACCAATAAAACACTGGCAATGTATAATGTCTCACACAAATAAAGTACTGAAGATTAAGTACCAAACTAGATAAAGTACCAAACTAGATATATTGCGAATATTTTGTGTGTATTTGCTTATTCAAGAGCTTCTGAAGGTTTATGAGTTTGGATGCTTTAAAATTCACTTAAATGTTCATATTGCCAAGGCTTATCTGGTTATTTAGGTCAACATAACCAAAATTATTTACACTTAAAAAGGCTCAAATGCAGCAGATTGAATAAGATAAACTTATTTGAGCATCCTTAAATATGCCTTATAGCATTCTTTAAGAGGAATCTTAAGTGCAAGTGAATTATCAGATGACCCAAATACAAGCAACATCATTCTGTATCAATAAAAAATGAGAAAAATGAGAGGTGAAGCACATTACCTGCTGCGGTGTCTCGATGACACACGTCCTCGGTCATAGTCGGATTTACACCGCCGAGGACTGTCTGAACGCCTCCGTTCTGAACTACACCCCCTGTCCCGCTTCTCTCCTCCAAACTCTCGGTTGTGTCTGCTTCCATATTCGCTATAACTGTGACCCCTGTGCCGGTGATCATCATGGTGCCGAAGTCTCTCAGGGGAACGAGAACAGGAATCCGTCTTGTAGTGAAGTGGTGGACGGGAACGTTCAGGCTTGAAGGAACCACTAGGCTGACCATAAGCTGGGTTGAAGCTGGGTGGAGGGGGAAGCTGGGGTTGTGGAGGGTAGCTCATAGGGTATGTTGGAGGGTAGGGCATAGTGGGTGGAACTGAGGGTGGCATAGGTGGCAGGGGTGGAGGGGGGATATTGGGCATCATGTAAGGATAAGAGTTCTGAATCGGCATTGGAGTCGAGCCATCTGAGCTGTGAGGAGGAGGTGGTGGAAAAGGGGGTGGTTCTGTGAAGACTGGTGGACGTATGGGGCACTGAGGCAGGGTGTTGGAAGCCTGTGATGGTGGAGGGAAGTGGAACGACATGAAGTCAGGATGAGGTGGCATGTAGCTGCTGCCGCCCTGGGGGTTATAGACAGGTCCGGGAGCAGCGGAAGGGTCGTAGTGATATCGTGGGGAAGCAGGATGATATATTTGACCCGGAGCGGGTAGTCTACCCCTCGGGCATCCACGGCCAGCATGGAAAGACATCTTTAAGAAAGCTATAGATGTAAAAAAATATATAGACATAAACAGAAATATTCTTTAAAAGACATTAAAACTGGGGTCCACAATAATACTAGTTAGGGCTGCAAAAAGTATTGTTTCAGCATTGATATCGCAATGTGCGCAATGTCCAGTCTGAATTATAGTTGACTAGGAGCTACCGAATTGTTTAATCACTGTATTTATAGGGAATTTATATGATTTATGCTGGGGAAAAAACAATTCTTACTTAGAATTTTCGTCTTTTTTCTAGTCCAAAAATTTACATTTCAAAGTGAAAACAAGATTATTTCACATATCCACTGGCAGATCATTTCCCTAAAACAAGCAAAAAAAAAATCTTAATTATTTTTTATATTTGGACTAGAAACAAGACAAAAACAAAGAACAATGTAATTTTGCATTGTGATTATTACATTTTTGAATACAGAATAATGTTAGATTCCCCAGAAAACCATCCAACAGAGCTATTCAAACCATCTTTTGAAACAATATGACCTTATTCTTCAATGCGGACATACACTCTTTTTGCAATTGTTTTAAAACTTACGATTCAGTTGCCTATGGGAGAAATTACTGGGAATAATTAACAACAAAAAATTGTCAAACTACTTGCTCTACAAACAAGTGTGTTCATGACAATACAAACAAAGCAAAATAATATAATAAGAAAATATCAATTTGCAACATCAAGCAGCAAAACAAGCTGTTTTAACTTCTAAAAAAATGAATGAGACTGGAAGTCAAACCAAAAAGATTCAAATGGCTGCGCCTGCTCGTACATGAAGAATAAGGTTAATATTTGTATTGGAGTTTTCCAATATTGTGCAGCCCTAAAAATAATACAGGGTTCTCACAAAAATATATTCTTACTATTTCCTGAGTTTCAATGACTAAAAAGCTGAATTTCCACAATCTATAATGAACAGAAAAACAGGCCATTGTTGTGCTTTGCATAATTTTTAAATGGTTTTATCTTGATTAAGTTTTTGCAGGACTTTAATAGCCACTTAGAGAACAACAATGAATAATTTACTTACACTTCCTTACTTACTTGTACTTTGGTGTGGCAAACTTTGAAATGGTCATTTTGAAGCCAAAACTTTTAAAATCTCTATTGTCCTGCATGGCATGCTAGCCTTTGTTAACATCTACAGTGACTGCATTTGACTTAAATTACTGCCAGTTAAATAATGTGTATGATTTTAATACAATGGAGATGAAAAATAGTCTAACCATAACAGACATTTTAAAAATCCATAATATTCCAGAAATTCCATGACCCATGGAAACCCTGCTAACACTAACCAGGACAACAAAGAATGCATTTGGTGACCAGTAGGTCTGTGCAATTTGGGGAAAATATGTAATTGTGATTTTTTTTTAAAGATATTGTGATTTGGGATTTAATTTTGCAATTAAGCTATCATAGCATCATAGCTTCTTACTGCTAACATTCAGTGAGTGTTAGTTAAAAATAGGAACTAAAAAGATATTAACAAACTTAAACATTTACAATTTTCTTTTTATATTCAGAAGAAACACAAATTTTCTTTAAACCAAACAGTAAATGACCTTACCTTTCTGTAAACAAGTTGAACTCAAATTAGAAAGTGATTAGGAAAAGTGTAGCTTATTATGAAAAAAAAACAAACAATTATAAAAATATAGAACACTCAGCAAACTAACATGGCTGAAACAACTCTAAAAAAAAAAGTACTTTGCTATTGCTTGCTACTACATTGAGTGTCACTGGTAATACTTTTAGTTGACTTTTTAGCAACACTCATCACTCAATTATGCTCACTCTTAGGCATACTATCTATAAAAGTAAGACTATCAGACACAGATGTCAGTCAGGCCAGTAAGGTACGCTGGCCAGGGAAAATTAATTAATACAAATATATTTCATATCGCAGCCTCTTGCAATTAGCTAATCGCAATATTTCAAATCGAGAATAAAACATAAAAAGACTTTAGAAAAAAATAGGATAACCAGACCTTTCCTGTCAGAACAAGCAGCAAATCTACTGAATAACCTCAAGACTCAGATACATAAAAGATCTTCTGGAAGACCTTTCAAGCAGTATGGCAAAGACTTTGCAGGTGATCCAGAATGTGGCACCACAACTAGTCTTTAAAATATCTCATCACACTCCTCCAGACCTCTTTGATGCTGCTTGTTTCAGAGTTGGCAAATAGAATAGCTCATTCCTACCTGAACTGTACTAAAATAATTATTGGCTTTTTAATGAATTTATTTGTCACATTTAATAAATGTGTCTGCTAAAAGCATAAACGTGAATGAACTGGAATCACCTGTAAGGAATCTTCATGTGAGCAACCAATGTTATAGAAACTGAAGCAACCACTGACTTCTTAAAGTTCTGATATAACTTATTATCTTATATAACTTATTATCTATTTATAAGTGTATCTATTTTTTGTTTATCAAAATTGTTATTGTGTGAATTTTTGCAAATATCTAAAATACTTATACTGTAACAATTTGCAGCGAAAATAACTGTTGTGTGATATCCACATTATAAAACACCATCCCTTTACCCTACCCTAAATTTATATATATATATATATATATATATTTATATATATATATATATATATATATATATATATATATATATATATATATATATATATATATATATATATATATATATATATATTATGATTTCTCTTTCTTTTATGGATTTGGCAAATACTTTTTGGTTACATTTACAAGTTACACAAAACATTAACTTCTTCATAATTTATTCACCTTCATGTCCTGTCAAAACTATATGACTTTATGTCTTCTGTGGGACATATAATTTTTTTTGTACCAACAGTGGAGGCCAAGGAAAACAAAAGCATTTTATTATTAGCATTACTTAAAAGTAAGGGGTGGATTTAGTGATTTTGCAGCCCTAAGCAATTCCAGCCTTGGGGCCCAAAAGTTCTAAAATGCACCTTTTGTCATTTTTTTAAATATTATTTTGCTGTTTTTTTTTTCTTATATCATTCGATCTCCTTTTCTACATTTTATGTTAATGCAAAATAATAACATGTAATGCACCTTGTAAAACTTTTGAAACTTTGTTTTCTTAAGATTAACTCACAACTAAAAATAATGAATGAACCATTTCATTTTTAAAACTAAATCTTTACTGATTTGACTGCTGGGTGGGTCAATGATTGAAGGTGGTGCGCAGATGTAATAATTACGTTCAAATAAAAAAAAAATAGTTTTTTAAATTTAGTAATTTTTAATGCTATAAAACAACAATAAATAATTTATAGGTATCATTTATATTTCTATGTATTTATTTGGGGACCCTCAGATTTCCTGGAGAAAGAATTCAAGTTATATACAGGTTTGGAATGAAGTGATGGCGAGTTTAGAAGCACGTTCATGCTCGTGTGAACTCTCATTTTAATAAAATAAACTGGTAAGTTAAAGCGTGAAGCTAAAATTCACTTCTTCCGACATAGAGGCAAATTCTAATTATTTATAAGGCCAAAATAATATGTTTCTATAATTAGGGAATCAGCAATTTACAATGGACAAGAACCAAAGGAGGAAGTCAGTTATTTTTTTGACAAGGCAATTGAAAATCTGCCTGTTGGCCCTGCATGTCTGCCTTACTACAAAGATCTTTAGACCAGTCACGTCTTGGCGTCTCGCAAACTGTTTTTAAAATTTAGACTATTATCCCTGTCTCATTCCCAACCGGTATTACAACACTGAAAATGCATCAGAAATGAACTGTTATATCAAACAGTTAACGTTACATTGTAGTTTTAGCATCACCTATGACTAAGACAGAATTTTAATTATGAAAGCAAATAAAGATAAAACTCACCTTTAAAATAGCTCAGCTAACGCTTGAGAACTAAATCAACTATTCTATTTAAAACGTTTAAACAATGTTTACAGCGGTAAAAATGCTTATGTTATAATGCAGCCCATCGGCTCTTTCAGGACGCGATGTGTATTGCAGCCAATCAGATTGCGACTTCACGACAGCCAACCAATGAGAATACGACAAATGGTACCTCGCTGGAATAATGTTCCACGTTTTCATTTGGCGCATCACTGCCACCAACTGAACTGGAGAGTGAAGACTAAAAAGCAGAAGTTCCTACCATGATTTAGGGGAATTAGGGACTTAACTAAACGTAAAGCTTTATTTCTTTTTTGTAAATCAAAAAACAGAGATGTCTATTTTTTGCAGGAATCACATTCAAACGTGAAAGATGAATCTTTTTGGTCGAACCAGTGGGGGAGAAAAATTATGTTTTGTCATGGTTCTAATAACTCAGCCGGGGTTATGACTTTATTTAATCCACAGTTTAATAACACCTTACTTGAATCGCATTGCTCAAATGTAGGCAGGTGGTTAATCACTGTAACTCAGTTTAAAGAAAACATTGTTATTCTTACAAATGTATACGGCTATAATCGGCCCAATCTTAACACCGTGTTCTTTTCAGATTTAACTGTTAAACTAGTTTCTTTAAAAATAAAATATCCATCCTCAACAATCATTACAGGTGGGGACTTTAATGAAGCTCCTGACCTTTGCTTTGACAGATTTCCTCCAAAATATGACAATAATACACCCAATAAAATTATTAGTGATATTTGTTCTAATCTTTCTTTGGTAGATATATATAGACTTTTACACAACGACATTTCCTCTTCTTTTACCTGGTTTAAATCTGACCTGACTCAGAAATCACGTATAGATTTTTGGTTAATTTCTGATAGTTTGATTTCATCTGTTAAATCTTGCAGTATCTCCACAGCCCCATTAACCGATCATGCAGGAATTGAACTAGAAATTTCAAATTTTATCTGTAATTCATCAAGAAAACCTGGATATTGGAAATTAAACACCTCTCTATTACAAAACTCTGAATACTGTTTGGGGATTAAAGGCATAATTGACTCTTTTAAAAAAAACACAATCAACTCTCATATCTTAAACTGGGAATTATTAAAATTTGAGTGTCGCAATTTTTCAATCAAATTTAGTAAAAAATTGTCAAATTCTAAGGGACTATATTATGAATCCTTAGTAAAAGAAATTAATCATTTAGCATGTATTACTTCCCCATCTGACACAGAGACAGAAAAATTATATACATTAAGAGAAAAACTAAACACTCTCTATATGGAAAAGGCAAAAGGGGCTTTTATTAGATCTAGAGCCAAATGGCTAGAAGCTGGTGAAAAGAATTCGGCATACTTTTTTAACTTAGAAAAAAAACGGGGTGAAACGAAAAAAATTTGTTCTTTGTATATTGATAACAATGTAGTAACAGATGAAAAGACTATTTCAAAATTTGTTTCAGATTTTTATCAAAAGTTATACACATCTAATTTTAACTCTGACTCAAGTGACCTTTTTTTTAGTAAATTAAAGCATTTTATTCCTTGCATAAGTAAGATTAATAAAAACCTTTGTGAAGAGGAAATGTCTTTAAGGGAACTGGATGATATTATTAAAAAAACGCCTTCCAACAAAAGTCCAGGACCTGATGGTCTGCCTTTTGAGTTTTATAGAGTTTTCTGGGAAGATATAAGAGACTTAATTTTAAACATGTTTAATGAATGCGCTACCAATGGAGAACTTACAGAATCTATGAAACAGGGAGTAATTACTTTGATTCCAAAACCGAATAAAGATACTCTTTACTTGGATAATTGGCGTCCAATTACGCTACTCAACTCCGATTACAAATTACTAGCATCATTATATGCTACTAGGTTAAAACCATGTTTGGAGGAAATCATATCTCTCTCCCAATCTGGATTTATGAAGGGAAGAAATATTTCAAATAATATTAGATTGGTATTAGATCTGTTGGATTACTCAGAGTTAGTAAATGAGGAGGCTTTAATTTTATTTTTAGATTTTTACAAGGCCTTTGATACAGTTGAACATAGTTTTATGTATCAGACACTTAATTATTTTGGTTTTGGCCCAACATTTAAAAAAATGATGAAGACATTTTATTATAATATTTCAAGTAGTGTTTCTTTATCCAGTGGTACTTCTTCTCGTTTTATTATTCGGAGAGGCATAAGACAAGGGTGCCCAATTTCACCATTTTTATTTTTATTAGTTGCAGAAACCCTAAATCTTTATACTGTACATTGTTCTCAGATTAAAGGTATTGAAATAGGAGGTACCACATTAACTATCAGTCAACTTGCAGATGACACCTGTTTATTTTTGAAAAATAAAGATCAGGTCCCAGTTATTTTGAAGGCTTTTAAGCTGTTCTCTGATGCATCAGGTCTATTAGTTAATCAATCCAAAAGTGAAATAATGGCTATACACCAAATAGACGATTTAAGTATAGCGGGAATACAAGTTAAAAAGACAGTAAGATATTTAGGTATTGTAGTTAATAAATCAACCTCAGAACGGATAACAGACAACTTTTCACAAAGGCTACAAAAGACAAAAAATATCTTTAATTGCTGGCTTCAAAGGAATTTATCAATTCAAGGTAGAGTGCTGATCTCAAAAGCTGAAGGCATTTCCAGACTTGTATACCCTGCACTGTCTCTTTATGTAGATTCTAAGATGTGTACAACAATTGAGAAAGTTTTATTTAAGTTTATTTGGAGAGGCAAAACAGAGTATGTTAAAAGAAAAACAATAATTAGGAATATATCAGAAGGAGGATTAAATGCATTAGATTTCGAAACTATTAACAATATCTTTAAAATCAATTGGATCAAAAATTGTCTTCATAACAATAATTCCTTATGGTTCTCTATCCCAAATCTTATCTTTGAAAAATGTGGTGGCCTACACTTTTTGCTAACTTGTGATTTTAAGTGTTCTAAAATTCCTATTAAGATGTCAAATTTTCATAAACAAGCCTTGAATACATGGAAACTGATTTATAAGCATAACTTTTCCCCCCACTCATGTATTATCTGGAACAATCAGTATATTTTATTTAAAAACAAGTCCATATTTTGGAATGATTATGTTAAAAAAGGAGTAATTTTTGTTACAGACTTATTAAATCGTGTAGGGGATTTATATGATTACAATGAATTTATTAATAATTTTGGTTTAAAAATTACTTTGATTGAATACAAAAAATTTGTTCATTGTATTTCCCCAAAATTACTTCACCTTATTAAAACCGCAAAAATATATAACCATGTATCTGGCTCTCACCCAGAGCTTACTATTAAGGGCCTTTCTATCAAAGATAAAAAATGTAATAACAATTATATCAGGAATATCCTAACTGCAGATAAAAGTGTTCCTCCAATTGCAATGGTTAAATGGAAACAAGCATTCCCTTCATTCTTCTTTTCCCCAAAAATCTGGTCAGATATTACAAAATACATAATTCCTAATAAAGTAAAAGAAACAAATTTTAAAATATTACATAGATATTATCCATGCAATGATTTTATAAGTAAGTTTAAGGAAGGTTTTTCACCATTGTGTTGTTTTTGTAAAAAGGAACCGGAAACAATTCTTCATTTATTTTTCAGTTGCAGTTACACAAAACAGTTTTGGTCCCAAGTTTCCTTACTACTTTTTGAAGTGTTTTATAAATTAATCAGTATAACTGAGCAAATGGTTTTTTTTACGGATTGCAACTCTGGATTACTGGAAATGGACAAAATAGCAAAAATTCTTATTTTATTTGGAAAGTATCACATCCACAAAACAAAATGTATGCTGACTGTACCAAATTGTAAACTATTTTTCATTGATCTAAAACTTTTTTATGATTCCCTCACTGCTATACAAAGTAATACCAAAGCTATTAAGACATCTCAACTACTGGAAAAAATACTTAATGTACACGATTAATTTTTGTTGTTAATTCCATTGTATACTGTTTTATGTACAACTCTGTACATCCCTGTTTGTTCAATAAAAAAAAAAAAAAAAAAAAAAAAAAAAAGTTCCTACCATGATCAAAACATTTTGCATATCTAACTTCCCTGCTGTTATCTTATATATTTCTTAATGACCCAGTCTGAATTCTTTTTTTACAGTACTTACATTGGTTTATGCTGTAACGTTACAGTGGATGTGGAAATTTTCTGCTTGCTTCATCTTCACAATAACCTTTAAACCCATTACACTGCTAGTGATGTCATTCTTCTCATTAGTCCTATAAATCACAAAATCATTTATTTATTCATATTACCCTTGTTCACCTTTTTCTTTAATTACATTTCTTTAGTAATGCTGATCCAACCCAGGCAACCAGTTAATCGGAAGAATGTCAGAAAATGTTTTAAATGTAGTATCTCTTGGTCCAGTCATTCATGATGAGCAATGACTTTTTTTTTATTTTATTTTTTTTTTACATTTTTATTCCCTATTACACTATGTGTATTTGTACAGCAAACGCTCACATTTGTTACCACATAGCCTACACATTTAAGCTGATACACAAATTAAATATTATTTTATGTAAGAGAAATACACCATGTTTTGACACCGATAAGAGGACTAAGGATGTTTTAATTCATTGACGAAAATCATAGACACTAGAGAAACTCATACATACATCATGTTCATTACACAATGACAACATATGACTCGTTCTAAAATTCTGGGTATACAATATTCATAATTTTTCCTTCAACTTTCTTTAAATTTTTCCTCTTAAAAGAGTCATACAGTCAATTACGCATAGGCCGGTGAGTTTCAGACGGTATGATAATCTTGAATAAAAAACACAGTATCACGGTATTGTGATTACTGCTCTAAAATAAGTTCCAGGTGTCATTTTGCTAAAAATGTCCTGAAGAGACATCATTTAATTAAAATATGCTCTAGGTAAAAAAATAAATAAATAAACTTTTTCCCCATTTATATATGTATTTATTTATTTTTATTTATTTATTTATTTTTTATAAATATATTTT